ACAGAGCATGACAAGGATGAGGACAGCGGGGGCATGACCGGGGGCACCCTTCACCCTTGCCCTTGCCCCTCGTTCGCTCCCCTGTCCTCTGCCTTGCCCTCTCGCCCTCTGCCTTGCCCTTGCCCTCTACCTCGCCTTCTTGCCTCTCATCCGCCCCTCACCACCCTCTCCCTCGCCCTCTGCTCCCTCTGTCGCCCTCTTGCCCTCTACCTTGCCTCTTGCCCTCTACCTTGCCTCTTGCCCTCTACCTCACCTCTCACCCTCTGCCCCACCTTCTCGCCCCTCATTCGCTCCTCGCATCCTCGCCCTCTGCCTCACCCTCTTGCCCTCTTGCCCCTCCTTCATCCCTCATTCACCCGCAAACGACAACAACAACAATGGTGGACAATGATGGCAGGCAAGGGTGGCGGACGACGGCGGGTATGAACAGGGGCAGCAGGACTAGCGGAAGGCGATGGCAGGCACATGACGTCAACAGATGTCAACCTGCTCTCTCGCCTTTGCCTTTGCCTTTTCCCTTGCCCACCATTCTCCCTTGCCCACTGTTCTGACCCTCACTCTGACCCTTGCCCCTCATCCAGGGGCCCAACGAGCGACGAAGGGGCCAAACGAGCAGAGGAGGGAGCAGAGGGGTCCCCAACGAGCACAGAAGGGGGTGGATGGGTCCCCCACAAGCAGCAGAGGGGACAGAGAGGGGGTGGAAGTGGACTCACGAGTACACAAGGGGGTGGAGGGAGCCCCAACAAGGACAGGAGGGGGCAGAGGGGACCCATGAACAGCAGAGGGGGTAGAGAGGGCAGAGGGGCCGGGGGGGACCTGAACCCGTCTCCCTGAGCACTATAATGCACTGTTTCTGCTCATTTTACCTATATCTTATAGCAGGTGGCCCACTAGCCACCCACATCCTGTATTTTTTTTCCTGTACAATTTAATACAATTTTTTGTGCATTTTTTGCTGCAAAGGGCAGGGGAGTGGAAACGACGCATTGTACACATCGTTTCCACTCGTTATCTCCTTATCTCGTAGTGGGTGGCTGGTAGAGCCACCCGCATCATGTATATATTTTATTTCGATTTAATATAATTTTTTTTGTAAATTTTTCGTGTGCTTTGAGGTGCCCCCAAGCTCGCCAGATGTCGTGACGGATGCTGGCGAGAGCATTATAGTGTATGTGTCATGGTAATTACATGATGATCTAAAAATAGTTCTGGGGCCCCAAAAAAAGGCCCCATCATCCAAACTCACCTGGCCCAATCCACCCCTTCCTGCCCCCCAACAATGGGGGAAACGGTGCACAACGATGAGGAAATATATATATTTCCTCATCATTGGCAGCTTTTCCCCATTGAAAATGGCAGTGGGAACACTGCAAATGGCGAGGAACAATGCTTGGGCATTGTTTCCTGCGTTGTTTGCTTGTGTTGACAGGTCCCACCCACAGCTGCGAGCCCCGGCACACCCAGCAAGGCCCTCTCCATAGGTGGACTGTAAAACCACAGTCCTGACATATAAGCATACCTTGTAAAAATACAGTGTCTGATATAGATTTCTAGCAGACATGGCCGACTAACTGAAGTTCAGCAAATGATGTTTTCTGACCTCCGCCTTCTCAGTGGCTCACTCTGCATTGTACAGTCATCATCCAATTGGCAGAATGGTCCCAACCTTTACTCTAGTGGACCTGGATATCTCAAACCCAGAATGATGAGCATGTCTCCCACTTCATTTGAACTTGGCCATAAGGTGTGCTTCATGAATAGTCTGATTCTTGTGTGCAGAACTCATTGCATTGTGCCGCAGGGGTCCACCGATACATTGTCTGTATGTCTGGAGTTGGGCAAATCCCATCCTGGTGCAAAATGTTTGTCTGCCTCACAGCAGTCCTCTGCCCTGCTAGGTGGAATTATGAGCATTCTCCAGCTGGACCTGTTCATGGTTGGAATTGAGGCATTGCACACTCTAGATTCAAATCCCGACACTGTTGTAAATCTGGAGATACTGGCACATGCTCTTCTGCTCTGGAATTTACCGTTCTCTGCTCTCTCCATAATCTCCAATAGTGTTGCTGTGGCTTCGGCCCGGAACTGACTTAGAGCTGGAGCCAGCACCAGTTATTAGTCGAGCCATGCCTTGGTTCAGCTTAGGAAGCCACAGCTTTCCAATTGCGGTTAAAGTCGCGGCTTCGGTTAGTAGCTGGTGCCAAGTCGACTAACCGATTGCTAGATCACCAGTAGAGCGGTAGCGTGCAAAAAGGGCAGTGTTCTGTATACACTAGATTATTATGGTACATAATTTCATTAGTATGGCAACTATTTAATGTAATACTAATGAAATATAACAAAATACATTATCCACAAGCTAGTTTGCGCATATCATCCCGTAGAGAGGTCATTAGAGAACTATTCAGCTTCTTCTCCTCCTTGGATTCTGAGCCTACACAAAGAAAGTCCATCGTAAGTTCCAGTTGTTTGTCCAAAAGTGTGTCCGCTGTGCCAGGTGACCTCCTCACAACAGCCAAGTTCATGAGCACCTGTCCATCATGGTGCCTATGGTGGATTCGTCGAACATACTTGCTGCAGTGTTCACCTTTGATGACAACAAGAAGTCCATTATCGCATGTCGCATTCAGATGTTTCGGTGAGACCCACTCTGGAGGAAGGCCAGTTGATTTGTTATATACAACATGGCGGATGCTGACCTGTCTGTCGACCTCATCAATGGTGACAGAAAGCTTCTTCTCGCTGTAGCTACCACCGTTTACAATAACCTTTAGGGTTGTGCCAACCAGGTGTGGGTCCAAAAGCAAATGATGAGGCAATTCTTGTAGTGGCAGGGTGGTACCGCTGGTGGTGGCGACGGGTGACATGGGGGAAGAAATCGGTGTTTGTGATGAAGGATCCCAGGCAGGTGTTGATGAAATGGGTTGCAAAGACGGACTCCAGCCAGGTGTTGCAGGTGCAGGAGTCCGAGTTGGCCCACCAGAGGTTGACACCTGCGACAGTGCAGGCTGTGGCTTGTAATCATTCAGCTTGAAGAGCATGCTCGTGGGTTTGGTGTTGTAGCGCAGTGCTGAAAAGGATGATCAGTGTGATGCACCTCTAAATAAAACTTATACCTACATTGTTTCAATGACATTGCCATAGTCGACAATGATGAGTGGGAAAGGCTTTGAGGGATCCAGGTAGGTGAGTTGCATCTCGATTCTCAGCCCGCTATCCGTCGGTTGGCCGTGGAGAACATTTTTGAGGACACCAGAATGTCCCTTGTAAGGATGACCAATTCTGAATATAGTGACAGAGGTGCTGATCCATGGCACTTGGTCTTTGAAAAGTGGGAGGACTTGGCTGGGTGTGCGCGATGCATGGAGGAATGGGGCGGTGGTAACTTTCAGCCAATTCAGATGGACTTCGAATTCCTACAGAAGTAGTTAATAAATGAAGGCAAGATTGGACTGTGCTGCCTGCACATACCTTGAGGGAACTGCTGAGATCGGTGTCTGTGTCGTGGTTGTCAACATGCTTCTCTATGACGTGGACAACATCTTCATCAACCTTGTCGACCCACCCTGTTGTGCCATGGAGTTGTCTGCTTGTAACGGTAATGAAATCCCCGACATGAACATCCTTCTGGATATCACTCCAGGGAAATTTTTCTGTACCATTTTCTGCTCTGAGATCGACTTCCAAGTTGTTAGTTCTGACAACAGCCACTACACCACTTTTGCCTGAAGAACGGATGATAACACATTTGCCTTGTTCAAAGATCCATTCTCAAGGGCGAGGAAATCTGGATGCGTGAAGGCTGGGGTGGTTGCTGGCTTTGAACAGAAGGAAGAAGTAAGATGGCATGTCGACAGCAGTAGAGGTGAGCGAGTGAAAGTCGTAATGTTTCTGTAGGAGTCCATGTTCAAAATGAAGTCCATGGAAGGTGTACAATCCGTCGGATTTTTGGATGGGATTGATATTGTAGAGATAATTGATGATGTTGGGTTCAAATAAAGCTGGTTTGGGGGGAACAACAGATCATTTTTGCTTCGATGAAGGCTCCATAATGGGCGCTGCCAGACAGGGAACCAGGAGCACTTCTACTCCCCAACTTTCTACTTTAACAACGAGGCCAACGTCACCTCTGTAGATTCCCTTACAGACTCGGACCCACTGGTTCACTTCCATGTAAGTGTCAGGGTTCATCATTGTCAACATTCGCAGCCAATCTGAGGGTTCAATTCCGTGCAGTACAATGCCCTGTTTGGTGCAAATGGTTCTGGGTGTCCGCTCGAGGAGGTGGATGAGATTTGGATTCATGAGGGCCTCCAGATAGACCCAACCTTGCAGCGACCCACACATGAATGCAGAATGGATTTGATGCTCTTCCTCGCCTTCAGCAGGAGCGAAAACACAGCTTTCTCCTCGAGACCCAGCTGAGGAAATCATAAGAATACTCCTTGAATTATGAAGGACGACCTTACCCTGCAGCCAACACGCCAAAGCAGATAGTCTTCAGCGCTCGGTAATCTGCCTGCAATGTAGGCAAGGTCGTCGCTGGATTCAATGTGAGTTGGTGCAGTTGCCATGTAGGACCGTGATCATGCTATGATTCCAGCCAGGACATCATCGATTTCGTCTCCATTTTGAAGGTTGTTCCATGATGGATGTGGTTCAGTTGGCTCACACACAGTTGGCTCCTCATTGTCAATGAAGTTGTCTAGTGAGATGTGAATGTAAATTAGATTATATCAACAGGAAAAAAGTTAGACACGCACTGTGGAGGCCATCCTCCTCATCGTTGCCGTCGAAATCCTCCCTGTCCACCTCCACCTCGATATCAAAGAACCGTCACAGCTGTTCGGGAACCTGGAATAACAATGGTGAGCAGGAGGCACAGCTAAGAAACCCAACACAAACGTACATTTTTCATGATATCTGTGGACTTTTCTCTGAAACCTGATATCGGGTAGTGGTCAGTATGTTATCATTCACTTGTTATGCCTTCAACAACCCCAAACATGTTGCCCAGAGCCCAAACGATGCCTGGTACACAGGGCAGCACCCCCATCTTGGCATGGAAAGTTGGCACAGGGTTTTGGTATGTTCCTATTCAATGGTAGGAAATGAAAATTGCTAAACTATGACATTTTCTAAACAAATTGTAGGTGTACAAGACAAATCGTCGCAGGAGACATGACTCAACCGCTATGGGAGACACGACTCATGCATGTTGTTTGTCATGGGAAGGGAATCGACCAGGTAAGCCACCCTGTCAGCTGTCCATTCGATCAACCAAGGAACAGAAATACTGAAGATGCACCTTTTTCGAGTAGGTGAAACCATAATGAAGTCATTCTTGCAGAGACAATGAAGACCGAGCATCTGGAGCAGTCGTTCAAGTTAGGCGGTGGGTCGTATGGAAACAACGCTGGAAGATCGACACGTTTGAGCCCCTTGGTGCAGCATGATTGGGATGTCATTTGGTGTGTTCTCGTTGTTCTATTATGATTGATAGCTAAACACTTATATACTGTGATCCAGGTCCTAAACTGTCATATGATTCCCCCAACTCGGAATGGCATGAAGACAGCGACCAACTCCTACACCTCCAGTTCACCTGCCAGCCCCACCAATCCAACTGCCGACCCCACCAATCCAACCGCTACCTGCCACCCAACCTGCCCAAGCAGCTCCTCAGGCCGACAACTCCGGCAAAGAGTTCGACTTCAGTGGTGTTCCCAGCACCTCAACCAATGATGAAGGGCAGACCAGTGGACTCTCTCAAGCTCAGGCTCGCCCTTGCACAAGTGGCAACACTTTTGCTGGATCATCAACCCTTGCGACGCACCCAGCCAGTCCTGCTGCAGCAACAACAGTGACATCGGATACGAGGGCACCATCAGCGTCAAGCAGTTACTCTAGAAATGTGGCCTTGGATATTGCATACTATTCGTCAAGGCGGCCAAAGCCTCTGGTAAGCAAACTTATTGCAGGTTTTGCAAGTATGTCGTTGGTGGTACATTTATCTGTGCTATGGATTTACTAACAGTACCTGATTTCAGAGAGAAATCCACCTCAAACCCGAAGCTTAAATTCAAGTTTTCTGCCAATACCTCCAACACCACGCTCAGGAACCACTTGGAGAACATGCACAAAGAGTACCTTTGCCTCTGCGCCGAGAAGGGATGGAACAACCTGCTTCCAAAGTCGCGAGTTCAGGCGGTAGCGGCCCTGGAAGCAGCTCATGGCACTCAAGGCACTTTCCATACCCCCTTTACCCAAAAGGCTTTCATCCAGCATCTAATCAATTTTGTTGTTGCAGATGATCAGGTATGTTTAACGTTTCTATCTATTCATCAAACTAATGCCGTGTAGTCATTGAATGTCATCAAATGTCCCGAATTTCGTGCTCTGTTACTTCTCTTGCAGGAGGACCTCCAAGACAATGATATCTCCCGCCGAACCAAATTTCGAGAAGAAGTCATCAAAGCATGGGAAGTTTACTTCAGGGTTCTCAAACAAGATCTCATGGTGCACTTTCTGGGCTCTCTGAAATACCGTTTAGCTTACAACTGTTATCAGATTGCACTTGGAAAGGTGTCATTCACAGCAGACATTTGGTCAAATCAGTCTCATTATCCACACCTTGCCATGACCGCCCATTGGATCTCATGCACTCCAATGGGTGGCCTGCAGTTCAATTGCGTGCTTGTGGCTTTTCACTGTATTCGAGGTAGCCACCATGCAGAACAGCTTGCAAGAATTGTCCTCCACCTTCTTGATTGAGTGGGTGTTACTGTCAAGGTTTTTCTTGATACCTTCTGAGGCAATTCTTCATTTTAATCACACTGTTAGGTTGGCCACTGGACACTTGACAATGCCTCCATGAATGCAAAGTTCTTGGAAGAACTCCAAGTCCTTCTTGAAGCAAGGGATATTCCCTTCAATGCAAAGGATAGACACATCATGTGTTTCCCCCACATTATCAACATATGTGTAACACATGTAACTGAGAGCTTTACTGATCTAGCTCTCACTAGCGATGAAGCTGAATTTGCAGCAGCCCTCCCTCCTGCAGATCCAGGTCAACAAACCTTCAACGAGGCTTGTGCTCAGGATCCTATCGCACTATGCTGTGGCGCTGTTTGTGCGATCCGTGCCTCTGGTAAATGGCGCAAAATGTTCCAGGATATTATTCGCGACGGTAACGAGAAGGAGTGGTTCAAGGCAGCCAATGACCCCAACAAGATCATCAAGCTTGAGAATCTTGAACTTCTTCATAACGTTCGACATTGATGGGACTCTCTCTACAAGATGATCTGCCGATTCTGGGAGATGCGACAAGTAAGTTTCTACTCCCTTTGTTGCAGTATTTTCCTGATGCTATGACAGGCTTGCAATTATTTCCTGTCGTTGCCTCCAAACAGGGAGCTAACAAAGTTCTGCATGACTGACTGTGAGTGGAAAGTCCTTGAAATTTTTGAGATGATTTTGAGCGTCAGTCTTACTTTCAGGCTCTAACAAAATACTAAATGTATGACCAGATTCCTCATTGAGTTCAGACCCTTATGTGCAGCGAGCAAACACCCATTCTCGTGAATGCAATTCCTGCATTTGAGATGTTCATGACTGCATGGGAGAGGCTCGGCGAGAAGTTTCTGCACTTGGAGCCATATAAGAAGGTTGGCATTGAATGGGCAGTCAAGTATTACAATAAAATGGACTTGACAAAGGCATATGTGATTGTAATGGGTACATAGAATGCTTCATTATTGTTACCCTAATTAACTTCATCCTATTAACTAGTCCTCAATCCCTCCATCCGTCTATCATGGATTTGAAAAAATTGGGATGAAGAATTCATTGATGAGGCCAACCAAACCATCAAGGACTTGGTGAGCTGCCTGGACCCTTGTAAATAGCTTTCTTATTTTTACCCGCAATTCGCAGATGGTGGAATATCATGCTCATGCCAATTCCGAAATGCCAGCTCATCGAAGTCCTGCGACAACGCAGCAAGGATTTGGTCTTGATGAGCTGGCTGAACGGTACGGGCTCAATGACCTGATGGATTTCACAGACAACAACACACACCGCAACCAGGGTATCAATGAGGAGTTCGCGGCCTACTTTACGGCACCGCTTTCTGAGAAAGGGACGGACATTCTGAAGTTCTGGGAAGTAAGTATTCCAAATGTATTGATCCAGACTTTCTGCTGATATCATGCTTTTCAGATCCATGAATCAAGTTTCCCGACTCTTTTCGCAATAGCGCTTGACTACCTTCTCATCCAAGCCTTGGCAGTACCTTGTGAGCGCGTTTTTTCATCAAGTGCAGAGACAGATACGAAGTGATGAAATCGAATGCATGCAACCTTAATGGAAGCACTGCAAATGCTCAAGTTCTCACTGAAGACGAAACAGCTCAACTTCATGGAAGGCTTAGAAACACCAGAAATAGATATGCTGGTGCCTGCCGATGACAAAACGGACTTATTAGGACAAGTGGCCTCCAAGGGGAACAGTAATATAGACACCCTACTCACAGCTCTTGGTCAATACAACGATGACGATGCATAGTTGGCATTTGTACAGATGGACAATAATATTCTATTTTAATGTCTGTATTAATTTTGATTTTTAAGCTTATATGTCTTGGAATGACCAGCTTAGCTGACTTCAAACCGGTGGGTAAACCGAGCCGAGCTGATTTTATCAGCTCAGCTCAACATTTTTGGTTGAAGCCGCAGCTACTGGCGGCTTCAGCAAGTCGACTTGCGACTAGCTGAGTCACGGCAACACTACGGCCATCGCCATGCGCTCGCTCACATCGATGTCTGCTGATAAATCCTTGGAAGCAAAGGATTGCGCCAATCCCTGAACAAAAGGGGGGACCTCAAGGAAGATTCCCTGAGCAGCGCAACTACCAATCAAGGCCAGTGCATTGTCCTATAAGTCATGAGCGGAAACTTGAGAGAGCAGGTGAGAATGAGTACCAGCTCAGCTTGCAAATTTTGATGCCACCACAGAACCTTGACCTCTGTGGATGACTCACGAGTATATGTGAGAATTGCAGCCTTCAGACGCAAGGTGTAGTATTGCAGCCTCGACTGACAGAGTGACTTTGTCCTCTCTGTCCACTTCTGTGTTTTGTAGTGGACAGGAATGATGTTAACCACGTTGGAGTGAGGATAGAGGTGGTGGCAGTTCATCAGAAAGATCAATACACATTGATCATATCCATTCCAACAAAGACCACATCCCGCTTGCGACAATCTTGATCCGCAACCTGCTCTGTACTGAAGCTGGTGCTTATCTCCGCTCTGAGATAGTTCACCCAAATTTGATCGACATCTATTGAACTCCTTTGCAACAATATCTTCAAATGTATTAAACAACATCTTCGAACGGATTCTGAGCATATTGAACTCAGTTTCAACGATATCTTCAAACACATTTCAATGACATCTTTGAACATATTTCAACGACATCTTTGAATGAATTTCAATGATGTCTTTGAGCATGTTTAATTCAGTTTCAATGATATCTTTGAACATTGCAAACACTGTAAGCAGACAAGAGAATCCCGCCCAGGCAGGTGACAGAAGTGGGACAGTGAGGCTGACCCCGCCAGTGAATGTACTAGTAGTGGGTGGGCAGAATGAGTACTGAGGGCTGGAGGCAGGTGAAATGGATGGAGAACCAGGGATAATGAATGCCTGTCAGCAGGTCAGAGTAAGTGCTACGAAAAACTCAGTATATTGTAGGGGTCATAAGTGCCACAAATGGTTTGAGACAATTGTAGCCCTCCAGATGTTGCACTTACTGTGAACTTCTCAGAATACAATCAGCCTGCTGTCTAGGAGTAGTTTGGTACAAAGGGACTATCTGTCCTGCCCACACATGCACACTTTTTTTCTGAGGACACACATTAGACACATTAGAAAAAGTTAAACATGAAAGTAATTTTATTCACAGCCCTCACTCACTTATGGAAAGCCAGACTGATCTGCTCAGAATTTGGTCAACCAAACCATGGTGCTGATGATTGCTGATGGGTTAGCAAACTACAAATACATAATTCTCATTTTCCTATCTTCCCCTGTGTGTTTGAGCTACAAGGATGACAGGAAAATAGGTAGGAGGTATTTGCCATGTTCCCTGTGGTCACTGACTTTAATAGTTTGTATATAGTTGAGGATGGCATTGACCTGGGCCAAAGTTCAAGTCGGGTTTAAATGATCAGGGGTCTGTCCCCATGATTATGCCCTTAAGTTTCACCTAGAGCCATCAGAGCTGTGGTGCAATTACTGTCGCTTTCTTGTATTTGAGAAGCCTCCCTAAAATATGATAGCATGAACAGAAAGAATTCATTGCAGAGTCAGGACCTCATAGGTTACTTGACAGTTCAGGCTCAAGCCCAAGTCATTTGTCTTATTCAAGTCCTTTGCTGCTTCAAAAATCTTGACCCCATGAGTCTTCCAGGATTTGGTTCTTGTGCTCCAAATGTATTTGAAGTTTTAGAAATACCAGCATGATGTCACAATTGAGTTTCATGGGTGCTTAATACAAACACAGATTCACTGTCAATGTGGGTTGAGCACATTAAATAAGATCAAACTAGTGCAAGGTCTTCTGTTAGTGAAGATAAATTATTCATTCCTAGATGCTCTATATGTGTCTGCCATGAACACGTCTGTCAGTATGGCTCTGGTGTAGTAATTGGGTGGAGGGAGAGTGAGAGAAAATGCAGTTCAACAATGTAATGAACAGCTCTTAATGTCACATTTTGCTGTTTAGGACATGGGAAGAGGCATCAAGTATGGGCGCTTAATGAAGGCAAATGACAACGCATGACGAGGGGTTTAGTCGACGAGGTTCCAAGTGAAGGCAGATAAATTGGCAAGGTATGAAGTACAAGAGCTACAGACAACTGAGGCTAACAAGCAGACAAGAGGAGAGAGAGTTGTGACAAAACTTTGTTATTAATAGGCAAAATTAATATAGCTTCTTTACAACAGAAGACAGAGAGTCCATCAGACAAATGGTCTATCTGAAAGATTACAGATAAAGAATAAATTACAAGCAAGAATCAAAATAAGGACCAAGGAGAAGAAACAAGTGAGGATGATGGAAAGACTTACTCCAAGTCAAATTTCAAAGAGCAGTGTGAGCACTTCTATGCACACGAGTTGCGTGGTGCTGGCTGTGGGACTATCATGCATGCTGAATGGGCATATGCAACCCAACAAGTTTCCCAGGTACTTCTATAAAGCATTAGGAAAGTGTTGGAGGAGGGTTGTGCCCAGGACACAATGAAAAATGCAAAAGAAGTAGTACTTGTTGCCAGTTTTGGGGCTAGGGATCCATGGATTGTCATGTACTCATTTTGAGACTGAAGATCCTGTACAGTCTTGAGACGTTAGTTAATATTGGGCTGTAGAGAAACTTTCCACCAGTGTTGGACGATTGATATGCCAAAGTCAAGGTCAAGGTCAATTTCTTTGACCAAGTCAATTGACAGTCAATGACAGTCAAATTTCTTTGACTCTCCCATGCCCATGGCCTGTGATCGGTTCTATAAATGGATTGCTACAACTAACTGACTCAGAGTCCTGCTTGGGTCCCGCTTCGTCTATGAGATAGATAGGTGGCAGGATTCACCTTCAGACACACACAAAAGTGGCTGTCCTTTCTCTCTGTATCATATTCTCTATTGCAAGTCCTTAAAACTGAATGAGCACTCATGTACTGCTGCTAAAGAGACTTCAATAAAGCTACTTGAGCTTCTATATCAAGATCCTCTTTGTCAGGATCAAGTCTTCCACCATGACAATTCAGTGGTTATTCTCTTCTTTATGCTGGAAAATCCTTCACCCTGGCCAATGGGTGATTTGGGGTTTGGTGTTGGATTATTCTTGCAGCTTGCAATTGTTATATAGTTCACAATGTGCAGTGAATTCTTTCTGCACCGAAAACTGTTTTCTTGGTCAATCAGTTTGTTTCAGGTTTATCTTTGGAGGTTCCTTCCTTCTGGGTGACCTCAGAATATTTGTATTTCTGTTGCTGGATGCTACAATTTGTTGAGCACCATCAAGTGATGAGGTGCTCTTGCTTCAATGGCAGCTTCATTGAGGACCTACAGGAATCATCAGGAAAAGGGGGGTTATCTTTAAGAAAGCCCAGAGCACTCTAGGATGCTTTAAAGAGCTGAAAGATGCCAAAGACTCAAAGCTGCCTGATTGTCTTTCAAAGCAAGGTTCAACATTGAATCAGACTTGAGCATTTTCTCAAGATGGTCTAAAGCATCTCAAAGCTCTCAAAAACAGATAAAAATAATGGATCCTGGTGTCTTTTGAGATCTTTGAGCAGCTTTAAAGCACACCAGAATAGCATGATCATGGTAAATGACGATTAAATTTGCTATAATATACCTGTAATGACTATGCCTATGGAAATGAATATAAAAAGCAAGCTAGATATCCTGATCCTCCTCAGCCATCTTCGCAAGCTCACTCATGTTGACATTCTTCAGATTTGCTTTTGAGGAAGTGGTCGAACCCTTCGAAATTCCGGAACCTTGACTAAAGTGGCAGATGAGAGAGTAATAACACTGAAAAGAAGAAAAAACCATACACCATCTTCTTGAAGAGCTTCTTTGGATAGTACATTGTCTAATTACCTGCCTCCTCCTCCAAACAGTTCCAGGTTGCTTCTAATTCTTGGTATCTAGGCCAATGTTAGTTTGATGAGCAAAATGAAAACTGACGGCATACTGGGTTTTTGATGTATCCTCACTGAAGCTGGCCTTGGTATGATTTCCTTCACTGTATTCACTAATGGAATGGCGAATCTAGAGAGTAAGGGCTCAGTAAAATATCTATAAACAAATTTGAAAACTCTACCGCAGTTGAAACAAGCAGAATAAGGGAGACAGGAATGGTTTTGTCCTTTGCCATCCTCATAGTGGATGCGACATCCAGTTTGCTACGTGTTGATGGAGTGAACCACAAGACTTTGAGTATTTCTTCAATCATGGGGGCTCCAAAGGGCTTTGTAGGATCCAATGTTCGTTTCTGAAGGTTGACAATACATTAGAGTCAGCTGGATATTAAAATTATCACATACCTCTATATCTATTCCACCATACATAAAGTTTGCTTCCACGAGAAGCCAGCGGACATGGTCCTTGATCTCCCCTTTCACTCCATGAAGACGGTAGTTGGAGACCACCTTACTTTGAGTGCTGCTTATGATAGTGGAGAGCATGGCAGTTTGACCATAAGTAATCTATAACAAAGGAGATATAAAGTATTAGAAACAATGCAAAGGATTTGAAAATACTTACGAAGGCCATGACATCCTTTTTAACTTTGCCATCCTTTGCAACACACTTCAAGGTCTCCTTCAAGGCTTCATCCTTTGAGTTCTTGACGGCCTCCTTCACAACTTCCCAATTAAAAGTAGAACAACTAATAGCATCTGGAGGAGGATAGATATCGCCAAAGACAACATGGGTTCTCATGTAAGTCTTCCCAGCAATGGCGAGAGTCTGAGAACGGGGTGTAAAGTCTCCCTCCAGGATCCTGCCACTGGACTTCTTAGTAGGGGTTGCTGGGTATTGAGACTGAGGAGGAGGAGCACTGTCTTGAGCCTTTTCCATGGTGATATCTTTGACGATCATCTGCTATACAAGATTAGACAGTGTCGTGAATAGAAGTAATACATACATTGTTCAATTTGTTTAAGTGGGCCTGGAAAGCTTGATGCTCACTCTCAGTCCACTCCGCATTGGGATCCTGGCTAACACCACATCCAATGGCCTCATAATGCCACCACTTAGAAGATACACTGGTACCTATACCACTATAAGGAGAGCTAGCACGAGGGCTTGAGAGACTAAGGTCCACATCGACTCTGGACTCCTGCTTGGGCTCAGGCTCAGGCTCAGGCTCTACCTGAGTAGGCAAATGAAGACTGGAAGTGAGAGCCTCTTCTTCAGGGTCAAGAAAGGTGTCCTTGACTGAAGTCTTCTTTTTCGCCTTCTTTTTATGAGGTATAGCAGCATCTTCATCTTCATTGCCTTCTTCAGCGTCAATCATAGCTTGATTTCTTTTACATGCATCTAATAATAGTTTAATATAAAGTTCTAAAGAAAAAAGAATAACACACTCTCGTCTTCCTTCTCCTTGGCAGCAACAGCTTGTGCCTCAAAAGCTCGTGACATGGCCTGATACTTGGCCATTTCAGCACTGGCCTTTTTACTTGAACTAGAAGAAGAAGGGGCCCTGGATGTTTGTGCAGGAGCTGACTTGGGTTTGTCCTTCTGTTTACCAGCACTGGCTGTATCTCCAGCAGCCTTCTTCTGAGCCTGAGAAGACAAGGTAATAGCTGCTTTTGCTTTTTGATGTGCAGAAGAGCGTTGAGAGGACATGTTGACACTGGAAACAAGAGAATAGTGTTGGAAGAGAAGTTGATGAGCTGGCTGCTGATGTTCCGTTCACTGACAAATTTCTCACAAATCGGCCCAGGCAACTTGCAAAGCTGAACTATCTTGTATTACTTCTAAAGAAACTAAAGCACATCAAATTAATCTAGAGCATCCCTCCTCCATTCTCTGAGTAGTGAAAGTATATATTATTACTCCATCCATTTCTGTTCTTGATCCAATTTGCTGCTGCTTTATCAGAATGACAGACAATGGAAACTCGTTCTCCCTCATAGTGAAGATTGAAATGGGATAAGGAGGCAGACATAAAGATGACCATATCACTGTTTCTCAATTCAAGTCAAATTCCAGCACAGATCGCCACCTACACAGTCAGAGATTTCAAGGACCATGCACATTTGAAGATAGTTGCGGTCTCGGTGAATCTTGGTTGTAACATTGAGGTTGACAACAAAACCGCTATATGGATAGACTGGAGAAAATGCTCCAGCAGGCAAGATATCTGCATATTGAGCAAGAATGGCATACTCCTTGGGAAGGAGTTGAGCCAGCTAAGAAATACATTAATTTGGATAGAGGAGACGGTAGAAAATGCTTGCCATTTCATGTTGCCATTTGAAAACGTCTTCCATAACTTCTTGAAGGCCTTCATAAAGTTCAGAATTCTGCTTCAGCTCACTAGATGTATGAGGCATGAACTGAGAGGTGTTCAACTTCTTCAGACCTTCCTTCTGGAGAAGAGTGGGATTGACATGAGTAGGAGCTCCATCACCCTTGAAGATACACATTAATAATCAAATTTATACAGATATACAGATTGAATAAATTCTTACTCTGGCACTATAGCGGTTATACCAGCTAAAGTGGAACAAGGGGAATTTGCTTTTTTCATTATCAAGCTGGCTGTTCTTGTGATGAACATAGCCTGGAAAGAAGTTTTTGGCGAAGTAGTCGAGATCTCAGCTCTTCTGGCATGGTAGGGCATACAATGATCATAGGATTACCACTGCTGTCCTCAATCTGGAGGATTTTGCTGGAGTAGATTAGATACCTCAGGCTGATCTTAATCTGAAAAAAAAAATTAGATGTACTGGTCCAGAATTTTCATGTTGATAGATGTCCAGTGTTTTTCGCTTTTGCGTTTTCCTGTCTGGAGCTGTTTATGAAGCTAAAGACTATTTAGAAAGACAGGTAATTGAAATTGGTTTTAAGGGACTAACTCTGGTCTGAAGCTCTTCCAACGATTGTGGATGATCAGCGGCGGCTGCATATCAACGATGTTTTTGAGTATACCAATATTTATCTTTGGTATTGTCTGGCTTGTAGAGAATCTTGACATTATCGGGATGAGAGGAATTAAAGAGAGTTTTTATTGTGTAGATGTTCGAATCCTTGGAGTTGATATACTGAAAAGTGGGGGCTTCTAGGAATACCGTCTCATCTTCTTGTTCAGATAGAGGAGATGGGCATTCAGTCGGTGAAGTGCTTCTAGTCGGTGACAAAGAGCAGCGAGTAGGTGAAGAGACAAAGCTTGGAGTAGAAGACTGGTGAGAGGTTGTGGTATAAAGCACTTTGTTCATAACATGATAGGGCATTGATACTGGATAAATAACTGGAGAGTAACATCTGGACCAGAAGACTGGATCTCTTAGTTTAAGAAAAGCACTGAAATGAATTTAGAAATTACTCCAGAGAATTAACCATGATAAATGACTTACTTATATGTTAAACTGTCAAAAAATTTGTCAGAAAGTTGGAAGTTGGAGGCATCAATATCGGAAGGAAGATTGGTCTGGTCAAGCATCTCATACGAGAACATGGTGGAGAATCTGATGGGATATTGTCGTCTGAGAGTGTCAATTGCTGGAATAAGGTCCTGAATTACCAGACTGCCAACCAGGGAGCCTAAGAAGCAGATTAACTCAACTACAATAATAAGAACTGAGAAAAATACCTGGTTTAGGAGAACATATCATGCTCAATAGATGAATATAGTCATCCAGTGGTATTGATCTCATAGGTGTTTTAGCGCTAACATGGGCAAAAAGTGCCAAAAGGTATATGCCACCTAACTTGGAGTCAATACTGCTTCTAATGTGAAAACAGCAACTTACCAGCCCCAGAGATGAGGACATAGCGCCCACCGTCTTCAACAAAGCACATTCACTCACGAACGACAATATCACTCTTCATGTTGGTAAGAAGAGGTGTCATCTGCATTGAGAATTGATGACAGAGGCTAATATTTCTTTCTAAGTAAGCCATTCAGAAAAAAGACAAAATAAAATCACACCTAATGATCTTGGACTGGAACTGCATGCACCCCATCATATAAATGAAAAAAGCAGCAACAGCCAGTTTTTCTGCTCTAAGGCAGCGTTGAGCAATCTCCTCTACAGAATTGATGATGTCTTGAGGAATACCACCAGCATCTGGTCCTTCAATCAGAGACTGAGCATGGTGTATGTCAAGAGGATCCCAAGGAGAGGAAATTCCACAGCCCAGAGAACGAAACATCTGCTCAATAGGGTGCAGATCTTCACCAGAAGAGCGGTCACAGATTATCTTGGCCTGCTTTGCTATCTTCTCGAGCAACTTGTGCATAGGTCCACTGAGCTTGTGAACCTCAGCCATTCCACCACCAGCAAGACTCTCCGCAAGTGACACCACTGCCACAGCTTGGGTAGGTGGGCCATAAACTTGCCCACTTGAATCAATGTTGGGGGTCTCTTGATTATCAACATTGTTGGAGTCTGTAGCTCCAGCACCGTGGCAGCTGTCAGGGACATCTTCTTGGTTGTTCTCATCGTAACATGCAGGCTCAAAGCTTTCTCGGCGACATTCAACAGAAGTATCATGGGCATTTCCACAACGAGTCATCACATTATACGACGATGGAGGTGGGGCTACACCACCACGGTTGCAGCTGCTACCTCGAAAATGACGGTTGTTGCCAGACCCAGCCCCACCACAAAGCCTTGAAGTTTCCTCTCCTGCCCCAGGTCGGTATTCATTGTCATCCTCCCCATCCAGCTCCTCCCCACCATCCAACTGCCCATCCTCATCTGCCCCATCAACCTCCATGCTCTCAACTTGACTCAACGCTACCATGGCCTGTATCTGAGTCGAGGGGTAGTTATCCAGTGGGTATCGCGTGCGTGAACGACCACGACATCCATGAGTTGAACAATCCCTAGAGCTGTCTGGTGACAACCAGCAATGGTTTTGGGGCAATGGTTACTGAGGGATGAGCTCCGCCGCCTTCGCTGTGGGACACAGGGTTGAATACTTGAGGTCCAGTGTTCAGGGTTTCCGGCAAGGCAGCTCGGAGACAAAGGTGCCACAGGACTTGCTGATGAGCGTCGGCAGGTATTTGCAATTTCTGAGTGGGAGAGATGAAAGGGAGAGTGGAGATACAGGTCCGACATGGGGCTGAGAGCGCCACGAGGAGTGGCTGGGTCAACACCAAGGAAATGAGGAGATGGGGTCAGCGGAAATATATCATCATCCTTGTCCCAAAAATTTGATGCTTTGGAAGAGATCTAGATGACCAAGAAGTCAGAACTATAGAGAAAATGTAGCACATGAAGGCAATGAACTCACTGATTGGACAGGATAATGGTCGGCAGGAGGGGGAGTTTGCCATGGATCATCCAGACCGTTGATGCTCTAAGAAATGATTAACATGTTAACTTTATTCACAGGCCAAGATACTCACTGCAAGAAATTGTGAAGGAGAGGGTGCAAAAGATGGGGTGGCAGGTGTTTGCCGCACACATGCCTCAATCTTCATTGAGGCTGCCATAAGAATATCTGGAAGTTCCATGTCGTTTCTGAGATACCGAGCGAGTGCCAGGCACTCAGGACTTGAGAGAACAACAGGTGGCATGCACAAGTTGACGGCAGCGTTGAGTGTTTGAGACAAGTGGGGACGCAGTACGAGTGCTGACCAGTGGAGTTGATGGTTGAATGTTGAAGACTTGAAGTTGAAGTTGGAACAGACTCGTTATGGAGTCATGCGATACTGTCACAGACATGACATCGCATCGTCTTGTTTGTTGATTCTCTCCAAGTCTCTTCACCCCGTGCGAATCCAGCGTCAGGCTGATGCTGGATGGCAGGCAATTTGACCCTGCACAGCTCTCTCCTTATCTTGTCCATGTCAAGGCGCTGATCATGGGTTCTGGAAGGGATCAAGGTGAGTCCTTTTTTGTGTCTTTTATCCTTTGCATTCTGAGATCAACTCCCTCATTGTGCAGATCCTATGCATATTCACTGGCTCGTCACCACGAAAGTCCAGTTTACACCCAGAGTCGCGTGACTATGACCGCATGATGAGTCCGAGGGTGTTCCCACCAAAGCACCCACATCCTGCCTCCCTGCTCCAACTACCGCCTGCCTCCACCACTTCCAGAACCCTGGACAACGTTATCACATATCGATCCCCCCACCTGTCTCCCTCTTCTACGCTGATAAGGCCACCCATGGCTAGCCTTAGAATTTTGCGATTTCCCTAGAATAGTGAACCCATGTGTGCTGTACAAAGTGTTATTAATGATGACTATAGACTCGGTCTTCATTATAGCACCTAGTCTTCAAAAGTGAACTTGATCAGTTAATGGACACGAGTGTGACCATATTCAATGGCGCGCACTAAGTCGTTTGTATTGAGGACATTACAAATCATTCCGAGACTAGTGAAAATAAACCACAGAGTCGCATACCAAAGCACGGTCAATTAGAATCTACTAGCTAGGTCTGATCCTATACTAGTCTAGTGAGGCAAAGTGAAGTCAACAGTGACTATCGAGTAATAGTGTGGGTGTGCTTCAAGCGCGCGCCGTACTAAGCAGTGAAGTGTCTTAATACAGTGATTACCAAATACAAAGTGGAAGTGAAGCATCCGTAGGATTCGGGTCTGGAACAAGGTGTCACCATTGGATCACGGGGATGGTTCTGAACGGCATGTCTGATACTGGTCCGAGGCCAAGTGAGTGGATCAACGAGACCGTTCTGAACGGGATGTCTGCTAAAGTCGACGAGACACTACAACCCAGTTGAAGTCCTGAGGTCAGTAGAGGTCACCTCTAATATGTGCGATGTGATTGGCTTAGTCTCCCGGGACTAAGATGAGCAGTTCATAGGGGGCGCGCACATGCCTCGGTCGCCAAGAATAGCACAAGTGATAAGCGCAGCGCATGCTTTTGTGGTGCAGCGAGCGGAACCAAATCGGGTCATTGTTACTGACCGTGGATAAACCGGATTAGGACTTGGTGGCGTTGGTCAAGACTGAAAACACGCATGGTCAAGGCCGCGGCGCAACTCCTATCCGCTGTATACCACATGGTGCAAGGCTTGGATATGACTCATTTGTACCTGATACCCCTATCTCTCAATGTATTTAAGAATCCGATAGTTTAGTCTTTAAGTTTTAAGCAATTTACACCCCACATTTTGGACCTAAAATCCAGTGCGAGTGAGATTTGACTTTGTGTGATCAGACCCAATAAAGTGAACTAGCATCAGTGGAGTGAGAGCAATGTTTTAAGTGACCAAGTGAGCAATTGTGAAGTCGGCAAGAGCACCATCGCGTCTAAGTCAAGTAAGCCAATTGGGCTAAGTTAAGGATCCTTTGGTAGGATCGGAGTGTATCTGAGGCGACTTGGTGTTCGTGCTAGATCCTCCAGAGTGTATCTGAGGCAACTTGGAGTTCACGCTAGATCCTCAATATCTTGATTAGAGTCGAGTGGTTAAGAAAGCCAATAGAACGAGAGCACGCACTAGTTTTTGAAACGAAGTCATTGAGCAATATTGAAGCATAGTAAAATCATATCAAGTTGAAGTCCACATTAAATTTACGAGTTCAAAGACCCTACAACCCCTTCTATTATGTCCCACATCTCCTCGTTCATCATCGAGGTCTTGGATAAGAAGATCTGTTGCCTAGCGCATCAATAACCAGTACAAGCGTATAGTGCGCGACATTAGGCGCCGTCCCTCGATCTAGTCTACATCACTCTCTCATAACTGTAAATACTTAGTCCCCCTTCGGACAAACATTATTGATCAAGTGGTCAATAAGGAGTGTTTTAGTTAGTGGTTGGAGATAACCACTTTGTAGACTCATTCCCACAGCAACCATCTCAACGCGGATGAGCACAGCACACACCCAGTGATGCTGAACTCGCACTTTTGGGGTTGTTTTGCTGCTCCATTCACCCATTCACCCCCCACCTTCATCCTTCCTGCCTCCAGCATCCACCAACCACCCATCCTCTGCCTTCCATTACCCTCTGACACGCCTACAACCCGCGAACGAGTGAATTGCAGACCCAATGACATTGAACAAGCAGGGGCTCTGTCCACTGACAAACCACTACCGCTGCCCCTTTTGCCTCCTTCTCCCAGTACCACCCTTTTGCCTCCCACTGCCCTCCAGCGACAAGCCCATGACCCGCAGACGACCACAACACACCCCCAACAATGCTGAACTCATATGTTCGGTGGCGTTTTTCAGGTTCCATCCACCCACAAACCCCTTTCCATGCCCTTCTCACCTCCTGCAACCACCACCACCATCCCTCCAGGATCCACCGGCCCATGACACACCCATGACCTACAGACGACCACAGCAAATGTCGAACGCCATCGAACACGCTGATTCGACATTGTTTTCATTGCCGTCTACCCATGAGCCACCACTGCTGCCCTGCCGCCTCCTTCACCCATGACTACCTGTCCTTTGCCTTCCACTGCCCTCTGACACCCATACGACCAGTGGACGACCACCCTGCGTGCCCAATGATGCCAAACATCCAAGTTTGGCAGCATTTTGGTGCACGATTGGCCGACGAGTGGCCACCGCCGCCCTCTCACCTCCTTCACCCACCACCACTCATCCTTCGCCTTCCACCACCCTATGACACCCGTACGACCAGCGTACGACCAGCCTGTGGCAGCCATGTCCGCTACATTTCTATATCAAACACTGTATTTTTACAGGGTAGCCTCATAGATCAGGACTGTGTTTTTACAGTCCACCTCCCAAGGGACAACAGAATGCCTTTGCCGGGTGTGCCGGGGCTCGCGGCTGTGGGCAGGACCTGTCAACACACACAAACAATGCAGGAAACAGTGTCCGAACACTGTTCCTCGTCGTTTGTGGTGCTCCTGCCCCTGTTTTCAGCAGGGAAAAGGTGCCAATGATGAAGAAACATATTTCCTCATTGTTGTGCACCATTTCCCCCGCCGTTGGGGTGGTGGGATAGGCTGGATTGGGAGGGGCAATCTGGATGACACGGTCTTTTCTTCAGACATCGGTTATTTTTAGGATTTACCATAAAGCTTCTGAGGGCCTTAGGCAAATAATGCTCGTTGTTGTCTATTACGATGTCCAGCAAGCTCGGACATCCTCACAGAACACCAAAAATATGACAAAAAATCTTATTAAATTATAATGAAATAAGTACAACAGAGCAGGTGGCTCTACTAGCCACCTGCTCCGAGATAGAGATAAAATGTGTAACGACCATGCCGGATGGGGTGGGGACTTGGCTTCAGCTTGATGGAAAGGGCAGCTGCACCACCATGCAACATCTGGGTGTCCCCAATTTCAGGTGAACAGGGAGGAGCCAGATTCCAGCAGTGAACTAGAGCAAAGGGGGTATGTCGAGCTCAATATTCCGACTGAGGAATCTACTACTGTACACGGGTATTTATGCTATGTAGGATAATGGATCATGATTATGTAATAGATAACTTAGCCGGGACAAGGAGAACAATGAAGGACAATGGGACAATGGCTGGGAGACACAATGGAGTGAGCCGGAAACATGGCTCACCTCGGAAGTGCCTCGGAAGTGCACGGCTTGTTCCCAGATGTCTCAGAAGTGTCCCGGAAGAGCATGGCTCATTACCACAAGCCTCGGAAGCTGGATACAGCCTCAGGAGCCGGATAATTGTGCCGGGAGCCGGGGACAGGTTGTGACAAAATGAGCAGAAACAGCGTGCCATTGTGCCGTTTCTGCTTGGGTGGATGCCGCGGTGCGCTCACCTTATTTGCCCTCCTGCTGTGCTCCTCGTGCTTCCCTTGCCTCATGGTGGGTTGTGCTTGGCTTTGTCTTGTGCTTGCTCCCACTCACACTGCGATCATCTTCAAGCTGCGGTTGTCCTTGCACTGTCATCGTCCTTGTGCTGTGCTCGTCATCGTACTCATGCCATGGTCGTGGTTGGCACCGTGTTTGTCCTTGCACAGTGTTTTCCCTCACCACATCGTCACCCTCACCTCGTCATCTCCCAGTCATCGCCACCGTCATCGCCCCGTCCTCCTTGTTGCCCTGTCCTTGTCCTTACCCTGTCCTCGCTCTGTTGCCATCCTCCTTGTTGCCCTGTCCTCGCCCCATCGCCTTCCTCATCGCTGCCCAATTGTCGTCGCTACCCTGTCCTTGTCGTCACCCTGTCCTCGTCCTCGCGGGCCCGTCCTCACCCTGTCATCACCCCGTCGCCCTCCTCGTCCTCGCCTTGCTGTTGTCCTCACCCTGTTGTCGCCCTGTCATACTTGCTCCGTCCTACCAGCTGTTTAGTCCAGGCAGCAGGTGCGTTTGCAAGGCCGGAGTGCACATGGAAGGGGAAGAGGTTGGAGAGGTTGGCAGGTTGGGAGTGCTTCCCACCCCATCTGAATGTTCCATGACATCTCTAAGATGCTGTGGCTCCCAGGATGGGGGAAGTGGAGGAGAGGAGAGGGAGACGAGGAAAGGCGGCAGCAGGCATTGACAGGAGGAAGGAGGGTGGAAGGACGAAGGGCATTGCCCTCATCCCTGTTGAGGGGAAATGCGAGTGCGAGAGGCGAGAGAGCTGGGAGGCAGAGAGGGCAGAGAGTTGATTAGGGTGGTCAGAGGGGTGTTCATAGTCACCCACATCCCTACTCGAGGGGAGGGGTGCGCAGCATTCGAGTTCGAGGGGCTGTGGGTGAATCGGCATCGTCATTGATGGCAGGGCAAGCAGCGACAGGTGGGGCTAAAATCTGGAGCGTGGGCGATAGCGCGTCATCAAGGGAGAGTGGGAGGAGGAGGAGGGGGCTGGCCCACATCCCTGGAGAAGGGGAGGGGCGCACGGCAGGAGCAAGTCGAAGCACCACATCATCTGCGACACAGGCGGGCGCTGACATGATAAAACAAAGTAATTAGTCAATGAAAACAATAAAAAGTACTTTACATACCTTTTAGAGGCGTTTTCGGGGCTGGATGGCCAGTGGGAGAGGTGGAGGGAGATGTGGGTTGGTGTCGAGACAATGATCAACATCATTGATCGTGTTTCAGCCATTGCTGTATGGGTTCCGATTGGCTGTTGACCCTTTTGTCCGAGTCCCGTCTTCTGTCTTTCAAGCAACGGGATGTGTGTGTGCTCACACACAGCTCACTCAGCTATAAAATAAGGATTGGATACAATTCTATGCATAGATTACAACATGTACATAGAAATTTGAAGAGATCCCATTACAATTGAGCTCAGAATATAGCTCACACAACGTGTCCGTGGTGATTTCAGGACATCGTGCAATACTTACTTGGATGTACAGCAGTAAAAAATAGGGAAATCAGACTATATACTCGAATTTTTCAACATAGCATATGTATCCTAAAGTATTAAGGCTTCTTCTAAAGCATTTCCCGGTTTTAAACGTCACATTCTTCAAGTACGCACTTCAGCAGTAAGATTTTCATTGTAATCTAAAGTACCAACACTTCACTTATTCATCTCTACTATACCTACGCAAATTCATGCCATTCAAGTACAGAAAAAAGACTCCAATCTACTTATAGATCAATACTATATAGTTAATTTGCAGAAACAAGCGGCCGATGTCCTTTGGGGATGTCGCCAATGTTTTGCTCAACATGGCCTGTAGGTGGGCCGGTGGCTCCAGCCAATGGGACCCCACAGCGGAGTTTGCCAAAATGACAATCAACGGTGTTGAACACCGTTGATTGCTGCTCTCAACTACCACCTGGCATGCCCCGACAACTCAAGATGAGCTACTCTGCTCGGGCTCGTCTTATATAAGGTAAGTAATGTCGTTCTCTATCACTTAAACTACTTATTTACATATTCTATCACTTCAGGGCGTACCCCTTCGCATGTACAACATCTGTCACCCCGCTGCATGCCCCTCCCTTTATGGCGGCCCCTCTTCCCTCAAACCACGCTTCATGCCCCTCCCCTTCAACAAGGGATGTGGGTCTGTGCCTCTGCACAGGCGAGACGGAAATGGGAAGGGAAGTTGAAGTGGAGGTGGCAAGATGCAGGCGATGAGCACTCGTTCTTGTCGCATATAAGGTATGTATCGCCGCTCTCTATTATGAAAACTACTTACTTACATATTCTATCACTGCAGGATGGCCCCCTTCACGTGTACAACACCTGCCACCCAGCCGCATGCCCATCCCGTTCGACAAGGGATATGGGCTGGCATATCTGTATCTACAGCGGCGATCGCCTCTTCTCCTTTGCACAACCTCACCCTCCTCGCCCTATCTGCTCTGTGTGCCCCTCCCCTTCAACAAGGGATGTGGGTTGGTGATCTGCATTCATGGCGGACCCACCCCCCCCTCTGCTCTCTCGCCATGTACCCCTCCCCTTCCAAAAGAGATGTGGGACGGCTTTTGTTCATCAACAATGATGCCTCTCACCACCCCCTCATCCTATGTCGGCATTGATGACCTCGCCACCACCTCTACCATCTCCCTCTCATTCTATGACAGGAATGTCAAATGAAGGGTGCGGTGGGACCAGATGAGGACAGGAGCAGGTGGAGGGTGTCTGTTGGCCTGGGGTGTCTAGAGGAAGGTGGCCAGATAGGTCGCAGGGAGGAGGGCACGACCAGAACCCGAGACAGCAACGGCAACAGAGATGGAGACAATATGATGGACGACGAATACAGAGGCGAGACGGCAAGAGCAAGAGCAAGACAACAAGAGCGAATGACAGCCCGCCTTTGCGCTGGGGCTCTTCCCTGCCTCTCCTTGCTGTTGTCACCTCACTGTCACCACCTCATTCGCACCACCTCACCATGCTACCTCCACCCAATTTCACAGCAACAAGGACAACGTGAACTGGCACAACCAATCACAGCTGCCCACCCTCAAATACACCCCCCCCTTCGTTTCCTCCTTGCCACCCACCCTGTTCCCCCTTCTTGCATCGTACAGAGCCACATCATCCAAGAGACAATGTGTAATCTTGTACGATGGGTTTTGGGAAGCGAAAGGGGTAGCATGGGCAGGGGATGGGGAGTAGGTAGACCACTCGGACAGCGGCGAACCAGCCCACCCGAGCACGACCCAGCATGGGTGAGAACGACAAGATGAGGAGGTGGAGGAGCAAACACGGGTACAACCACAAGGGGGAGCGAGCATGACCACCAGGGCAAGGAACAACAACGATGGGCGAGGAATACCGGTCTCAGCAAGGGGTGACAGTACTGATGGCGGATGAGGAATGACGACGACGACAGGTAAAGCAACAGGTGAAGAACGACAACGACGGTGGGTGAAGAGCGACAACGACGGGGAAAGATGACAGCAGCAGGTGAGGAGCGACAACAACAAAGAGGGCAACTAGGAACAGTGAGCAGGGTGAGACGACCCACAAGAGCGAAAACACCACAAGGACCAGTGTGGTGCAAGGATGCAAGGGCGAGCACAGCAGGGGGGGGGGGGGGGGGTAGGCATGGTACATCATGAATCCGAGCAGAAACAGTGTGCTCATGGTGCTGTTTCTGCTCTCTTTCTCTCCATCTCACAGCGGGCGGCTGGTAGAGCCACCCGCGCAGTGTACTTATTTAATACGATTTTTTTTGTCGCTTTTTGGGGTGCTTTGAGCATATCCGAGTTCGCTGGACACAAGGATGTCTAAAAATAACCGACGCCTGAGAAAAGGCCGTGTCATCCAGATTGCCCCTCCCAATCCAGCCTATCCTGCCACCCCAACAGCAGGGGAAATGGTGCACAACAATGAGGAAATATGTTTCTTCATCATTGGCACCTTTTCCCTGCTGAAAACAGGGGCAGGAGCACCACAAACGACGAGGAACAGTGTTCGGACACTGTTTCCTGCATTGTTTGTGTGTGTTGACAGGTCCTGCCCACAGCCGCGAGCCCCGGCACACCCGGCAAAGGCATTCTGTTGTCCCTTGGGAGGTGGACTGTAAAAACACAGTCCTGATCTATGAGGCTACCCTGTAAAAATACAGTATCTGATGTATTGTTGTAGCTGATAGAAGTGCCCGTGTGCCCAATGACGCCGAACATCCAAGTTCGGCAGCGTTTCAAGCTGCGATTGGCTGACGAGTGGCCACCACTGCCCTCTCACCTCCTTCACCCACCACCACTCGTCTTTTGCCTTCCACCACCCTCCAACACCCGTACGACCAGCGGACGACCACCCCGCGTGCCCAACAACACTGAACATCCAAGTTCGGCGGTGTTTCAGTGCACGATTGGCTGACGAGTGGCCACCGCCGCCCTGGCTCCTCCTTCACCCACCACCACTCATCCTTTGCCTTCCACCACCCTCCGACACCCCTGCGATCGACAGCATGGAGTTCCCAGCATTCTCGGAGTACCAGGACGTGTTCTCAGCCCCCCTACCGACGTCCATGCTTGCGATATTTGTCAACCCGTCATGGATAAGGTAGAGGCCATCAGGAACCAGCTAGCTTATGTAATTCAAAAACCTTTGCAATGTTGCCTCGAATTGCAGCCTCAACACTGAATTAATTCCCCATCATAGTGCTAAGACTTGTAAAATACATTCCAAAGAAGAGATCCCTGGAAAAAATAATTTGAATTTTTGCTTTGGGGCCAAGAAATAAGGGTCCAAAAATTTGACCATGAAAAGTGTAGTAAATGCAATAAAACCCATTTTCGTAAAGGCAATATTCTTTTTGAAAATGCGACGTGGTGGATTTTGCCGCTTACATAATGCATACACGTGACTTAGGGGGAGGAGGAAAGGCCACAAACTGCCACAAAATGGCAACAAAATAACCATTCTCTGCACATTCAGACATGGGCCGACACTCCAAAGCAACTACTGCACATCTTGGGAACCTCAACCACCCTAGAAGGTCCTATAAACCCACTGTAGAAGATGTGAGCAAGTCAGAAGATGAAGATTACATCCCTACCAGCAACAGGCAGCCACTCCTCGAAAAAGGCTTCTTCTTCCTGGATGAAGACTTGGATTCAGACTCGGACTGGGACCCAGAGGATGAGGAGGAGGTGGAGGTTGATGAGGAAGAACTAGAGGGGCTGAAGAATGAGAGCGACATTCATCAGTTCGCAGCTGTTCTCTGTGAAGCTCAAGCTCTTGCTGTAAAGGCTGAACGTGAAGCAGCAGCTGATAAGCCCAACTGCCCAAAGCACTACACTGGGAACTCGAAACGAAGCCAGCGGCTCCATGCCTTCAATCAGAAGAAGTTAGCAGCAGCTGGACAACAATTTATTAATTCCTGGTTCACAGTAGCCAAAAAGACGGTCTCCGAGGATGAATCTGGTTCAGACTCAGACTCATCACCTGAAGACCCACCCACCGAAGATGTTGAGGCAAGCATGGGCCGGCTCTTCCCTGAAAGAGATGAATTGAGCAATGAAGTCAGTCCAGATGCATGTCAAAAGCTTAATCGAGGACTAACCAACAAGACTAGATGAACCCGGGGCTGTTGCATGACACTACAGGCACCCAGAGTGACACATGAGCGAGATCTGCAAAGGAGGAAGTTGAAGAGCTCCTGAAGCAGTTGTGGAACGGATGTCGCCCTTCGGATGACAGCCCTGAGACAAGGACTGATGTCCTGTTGAATGGATTATGCTACAAGGACTTTCCTATGCTGCGTCGTGCACTCGCAAAACTCACCGTCAAGAGCAAAGACAAGAAGCTTGATGTGTTCTTCCGAAGCCGAATTACAGGGATGGTTGCGACATTGAATCTTTATCTCAATTCACAGCTCTCATATACATGGCGGGAGGCTTCCCTGATTGCAGCAAAAGCTGCAGGACGAGGACCCAATCACGCACACAACCTACGAAAGTGGATCTGTCAGTTTTTGAAATCTGGGAAACTGCCCCTTCACCAATATGGCTCCTACAACTCCTCAATCCTTGATGATGAAGACTTTGCCTGGGATATCCAGCTACACTTGACAGAAAAGGCAAAAGATGGCTACATCCGGGCACAGGACATTGTTGACTACGTTGCCACAAAGGATGTCCAGGAGCGGCTTGGGGTGAAGGCACGAGGAATCACTGTTCGAACGGCTCGACGCTGGTTGAAGAAGCTGAACTGGCGATATACCTGCAAACGGAATGGCATGTACATTGATGGCCATGAAAGGGAGGATGTGGTTGCTTATCGGAAAGCATTTGTGTCATGCTGGCAGGAATATGAGAAGCGTTTCATTACTTATGACAATGATGGCAATGTACTCTCTAAACCAGCTGGCTTCCCTGTCCCTCAAATCGGCCGCTTCCGCTTAATCCTGGTCACACACGATGAATCAACGTTCTATGAAAACGACAGACGCAAGACAAAGTGGACCCACTTCCAAGAAAAGGTGACAACGGAGAGAAAAGGAGAGGGGCCATCGATCATGGTGTCCGAATTCTTAACACCTGATTGGGGGTGGCTAAAAGACAGAGATGAGTGAGTAACATTCAAATGATTATCCACCACTCAAGGCTGATCATCAAGTGAAAAAAGCGAGGCATGTATCCTCTTCAGAGCAGGGAAGAATCGGGATGGTTACTTCGACAATGACGATCTGATCAGTCAAGTGGATCATGCTATTGACATTTTTGAGGGACTCACCAATGGCTTTGCAACTGGTCTTTTCATGTTTGACAATGCACCGAGTCACCAAAAGCGGGCAATGGATGCCCTCTCTGCTCGGAAAATGCCCAAAAATGCCCATGCAACATGGACACATCACAAAGATGGCCCAAAGATGAGGACCACCTGCTTCGGTGAGCACAGCACTATCCAAGACTTCTATTACCCAGATGATCACCCCACCATGCCGGGCTGGTTTAAAGGGATGGAGAATATTATCCGGGAGCGCAGTCTGTGGCCACAGCGGGGGCTCAACGCGCAGTGTGAGGGGTTCAAGTGTGAGCCTGGGAAGACGGACTGCTGCTGTCGACGGCTTCTATTCACACAGCCCAATTTCGTAAATCAGAAGTCTCACCTTGAAGAGTTAATCACTTCCCGTGGTCACATTTGTGACTTCTACCCAAAATATCACTGTGAACTCAATTTCATTGAGCAATATTGGGGGGCAGCAAAGCTTTGGTATCGGAATAGCCCCAAGACAACTGATATAAAGGAGATGGAGAGGAATGTACTTGCCTGCCTCAACGATGTTCCTGATGTTTCAATCAAACAGTGAGTGTTTATTTTCACTTCCATCAATAAATGGATCTAACGCACTGATTAGATATGCCAATCACGCTGCTCGATTTATCAACGGATACTTCCAGGGACTTACAGGCCCCGAGGCAGCGTGGGCAAACAGGAAATATCATGGCCATCGCACACTTCCTGTGTCTGTTGTTGCTAAACTTAAGGAGGAGTTCTTAAAGAGGTTTGGGGGGTCCAAGTAAATATTCTACTGTACTCTGACTTGTATTCCGAGGGTCAAAATTTTTGAAAATTTTTGAGAGCGAGATTTTGCCACTCTTGGCACTTATATAATACAATTATATAAGCTAGCTGGTTCCTGATGGCCTCTACCTTACCTGTGCAGCCCGCTCTGTTGAAGATCGCCAAGGCCGCCTATTCTTATTGGAAGGAATGCAGAGTCGAGCGAGGCGGCCACCATATCATACCCACATTAAATGTGAGTGCTCTCGTTTTTTTATTTCTTCTCTTTGAACTCATCAAACATGTAGGGCGATGAATCTGACACCCTTAATGAATCCTACATTTGTTTCCAGCGGAGAGAGAGCAAAGCAGTCCGCAAGATGAGGGCACAGCAAGTGACCTCACTTGCTTGCCTGCAGATAGAGTTGAACTATCTGCTTGAGCTCGCAAAGTTGATCCTCATTCGAGAGACACTCAACAAGGAGAATGCCATCCAGGCACAAGCTCTCTGGGAGAAATGACAAGCATTCGCCAATCTCAAATGCAAATTTCCTTTGCTCAACGAGAAGATCGATGAGGAGCTCTTGGTAGACAAGGAACGGCTGGTTAAAAAACTGGAAGTTGTGTACGTTTTATTTCTCTTCGATTTCTTGCAGATGGTATCTGATTTCTTTCTATAGTCGAGTGGGAGGACTCAAGATAAGGACAGATAATCAAGCTTCGACTCCTCGTCCAGAAATTATCATTAGGCCGAAGGAGCAACTCGTGATGATTCGTGAGCAGATCGAGTCGCAGCTGGCAAGACAGAAGGATATTGATCATCACTGGGATGACCAGATTGATGTATGTTTTCATTTATAGGACCTTTACTCTGAAATAGTGCTTACCTCATGTTTCTAGAACCCCTACCAAACCCACCTGGCTCCTTATGCTTGCAGACTCTTCAAATACATACCTCCTCCTGGTGCTCCTGCCTGGCCTTCGTCCAGCTCTGATAAGACTAACAAAGACAGCGCCCCTCCATCCCTTCCCCCTCCACACCAATCTCGTGCCGCTCATATGTGCTATGGCAGAGGAGGGTGAATCTACCTTGATCGTTGGGATATTATCTGCCTGTCAATAGCCCTCTGTGATTGCCATTCAGTTTTGTTCAACCTCAAAGGTGATGACATAGAAGTCGAAGGTGGCATCTGGAGGAGAGATGGAAGTACGACTTGGATGATGTCCCTCCTGTGGGTCCTGAAGGAGCAGATGAGCAAGATCGCATCTTGGTGGATGATTATGGTGCAAAGTAAGTTCATTTGTTGTTGCAGAGTCGACAGTCATCTGAACTTCTCTTCAGGTACCTGCGGCATAGTATGATACTCCACTTAGATCCCGACCACCTACATCTTGTCACTGACCCTACTCTCATCCTTACAAATTCCGAAGGCTGACAACATGCTGCACTGCCATATTGCCTGGAGTTTGTTGACTTCTTTTCCAGGCGATATTTAGTGGGTACACTACTTTTGACATTCTTCATTTCTTAGTGTTTATTGCCGTCTGTTTTGACCATAATTTTTTTTTGTTTGATGAGACTGCCTTCTACTCCCACCTCTGCCCTGTTTTCTTTTTCTTTTGGCCTTGTGTTTTCTTTTCTTCTCAGCTATAAGCTCCTTTGTATCGTACCTTTGGTTGCCACAAAATCTGATATCTTTTTCTGTCATTGTACCATTTGATAAGTTCAATTGCATATATGTCCTTAAGCTCAGTAAATCTGCAACATAAGTTTAACATGTGTCGGTAGTGTGGTGATTCCCTTTTTTTTCTATTTGAGAGATTCTCAGGCCCATGTTCATAATAATAATTTATGAGATTGTCTTTTCCTCTCTTAGTCCTGTGTGAGGAACACTTTGGAGATTTGGTAGAACTCTTGTGTCTTTTCTCATGTGCCCAGTTCTGGTATGTGGTTGGCAACCATACAACTGTCTCTCATATCTCAACTATTACCATCTTTTTTCTTGTAGGCTCTCTTTTCAACAATCTGCATATTCCTCCACTAGCTAATCAATATTTCAACCCACCCTAGATTTATCAACCATGCCTGAAGTAGTCCAGCAAGATGTATTGGGCTTCAACACCGACTTTCCAAAGCTGTTCCATCTCTATGCACTCATGGAGCAACAGGAAGAGCTTTCCCTCCTTCAGTACATGGAGGAGCATGCACTCGAGCACAACACCTCTTTTCCTGTGGTTTCATCTGTCATAGCATTGGGTAAGTTTCCATTTTGCTGCCTTTCTTCTGTCACTTGAGGATTTGACATCTTCAGGTCCCTGATTTTGTTCCATTCATAATTCTGGAAGAAAAATAAGAGAGAAGTGCTGGATAAATGAAATGGCTAATTTTTTCTGTGAGTTTATTCTTTCTTCATCATTAATTTTAGTCTGACAGAAGTCAATCAACAGATTTCCAAAGGAGGCACAATCAGGACATTGTTGTTCATATAACCGTCATTGAGACAGTCTCATGACTAGTTTTTTTCTGAGTCTGAGCATTCGGTAATGTCCGTTGTTTGTTATTGGCCTACATTCTCTATCAGACATTCCCTGCTTCCTTTGCTATCGCGCTCTCATTTTGCTTTCCCTGTCACTACTCATCTGTTCTCACACTTCCCAATCCAATGCCTTTATACGAAACTTCTGGAGAGTTTCCTCTCCTAGAAAATCAATGCCCTGCCTGTGGATGCATCTTCCAGACTGTAAAAGGCATGAATTCCCATCTAACAACCAAGAAGGCCTGCTCGTGGTGGAAGAAAGGAAAGCTCTGAGCTCTGGATATCGATGAGGAAGACATTGACTCTTTCATTGTATCTCCTGAGATGGAACAAGAGTGGGATGAGGATTCTGAAGTCAATCAGGATGATGAGGATGATGGTGTGGGCTTTGACTTCCATGACTTTGTCCATCCTATTATTGATTGTGCCCACTTTGTCCCATCTATGGAAGAGGAACCAAATGCTGGTACTTCAAGCTCATCTGCTGCTGGTCCTTCTTCACCACCTGACTCTCCAACAAGAGACCAAGCAGGAGGTCGGCACCTGGATGATGACGAGGATGAACAGGTGACTTGGACACATCCCACAGCAGGTCATATCTTGCACAATCCACCTCATAAGGATCAAGATGGCAATGTTCGTATGGGAGATCCACAAGATTTTGGTCAAGATTATGGTCCGTTGATGTGCCTACAGCGGGGTGATCGTGTGGATAAGGAAAAGGAGAAACACACACCCAAACACCATAACGAGTGGCTCTGAGGTGCGAGGACGAGTTCCACGGCTGTGTGGCTCTAACCAGGGGGCTCGTACAACTCGAAGACAGACTACGAACAAGGGCGCTAAGCGTGGGAATGGGACGACAATGACGGCAAATTCAAAAGACAAGGTGACTGCGGGTCGAGGCGGCGAGTCGAAACGAGGCTGAGAGGCGAGAGACAACGAGTACGAGAGGTGAGGATGAGATACGAGTGCCCCGAGTGGGCAAATGAGACGAGGAACTGTGTGTTATTGCATAAAAGCACAAAATACAGAGGTTTTTATACTATGGAGAAAAAGGGAGACCGGCAGGGAGTGCGTTGCCGAACCGGGTTCAGGAGTAAAGATAAAGAGAAATTTTATAAAACATGAATGAAGGAAAAAGAGAATAAGAGATGAAACGACGAGGCAAGGGGCAGGGGAGGTAGCAAGACTTGCCTCAAGCGGAAAGAGTGGCGCGCCGAGCGCCTTCGTGCACATGGAGAGAGCTGGTGATGGTCACGGGGATAGCTGTGCTTGCTGAGTGATCATTTGAGGCCTATTGAGTCGCTTGGGTGATTGTTATGACGCGTCTACGAGGTGTTGGAGGTGTGGTGAGCCCAGATCGCAATGACGAAGTGTTTGAAAGAGCCATTTTGCGTGATTTCCGGGGTTAGAAGCAGAGCCGGCTCATCACCGTTCACTTCTGAGCTTGACTGGAAGATTGCGCAATGGGCCATCAAGGACAGTCCTGGACACAATGCCTTTGACTGCTTGCTAAAAATTCCTGGAGTAAGTTACCCATTTGCAATAGATTTTACCGGCATATTGACGTTGTTTAGGTTGTCGAGAAGCTTGGCCTCTCATACCATAATGTCCGAGCACTTCACAAAAAGGTCGACTCCCTTCCAGAGAAAGCTGGCAAGTGGAAAACCAAAGAACTTGCCTTCTCAGACCGTCCAGATGAGAAATTCACTGTTCACCATCATGATCCCATTAAGGCCATCAAGAGCCTTTGGAAGAATCCTGAAATCTCTCCAAAGATGGCATTTGCCCCAACCCGTGTTTACTCTGACTCAAAACAAGAGAATCATATCTACTCTGAGATGTGGACAGGGCAATGGTGGCACATTCTCCAGGTATGTAAGCTCCCTTATTTTCATGATAATTGCCCTCTCATCCCATGTGTAGAGCAAGGTTCCTGAAGGTGGAACTGTAGCTCCAGTTATCATCGCTACTGACAAGACTCAACTGACTCAGTTCTCGGGCAACAAATCAGCATATCCAGTCTACCTTACCATTGGAAACATTCCCAAGTCTCTTTGACACAAACCCACAAAGAATGCCTGTGTTCTTATTGCATATCTTTCCGTTGACAAGGTCAAGAGGATAGAGATGACAGAGCAACAGCATTGCTCTCGAATGCATCGTATCTTTCATCAGTCCATGCATGAGGTTCTTCAACCACTCATTGAAGCCGGTATCAAAGGTGTTCAAATGGAAAGTTCTGATGGTGCTGTTTGCCATGTCTTTCCCATCCTCACTTCTTATGTGGCAGACTATCCAGAGCAGTGTCTTGTGACCTGCTCCAAGTATGGAACATGCCCAAAATGCCGATCTTCAGCAAAGAACCTCCAAGACCCTGAGCCAGCCCCAGACCACACCCAGCAATAGACTGAATCTATTATCGAAGAGGCAAAAAAACAAAGTAATGGTTCTGCAAAGGCATTTCATGACTACTGCATGGAGCAAGATGTGTCTGGAGGTACTTATGACCCCTTCTGGAAAGAGTTTCCCCACTGCAACATCCACAATACAATCACCCCTGACGTCCTTCATCAATTGTACCAAGGTGTCTTTAAGCATCTTATTATTTGGTGTCAGACCCTGCTTACTCCAGCAGAACTTGACCGCCACGTCCGCTGCCTCCCTCTCCGACAAGGGCTCCATCATTTTAAAGATGGCTTTTCATCTCTTGCACAGATTTCAGGACCAGAAAGGAAGAATATGGCAAAGATTCTTCTTGGGTGTCTGGTTGGGCGTCTCCCTCATGCTAGCATCACCGCCATCCGATCCCTTCTCGAGAACAAGCAGTTTTTTATTGACACTGGTCTTTGGCAACACCTCAACATTCCCAAGTTCCATTCTCTTCTCCGCTACATCCATTCCATCAAGCTCTTTGGAACGACTGATAATTACAACACTGAGATGTTTGAGCGCCTTCACATTGACTTCACTAAACATGGCTGGTGTGCCTCCAACAAGCGCAATGAATTCCCCCAGATGATTCGCTGGCTGAGTCAGCAAGAGAAGATCTCTCAGCTTGCAACATATATATCTGCCTACTTTTCTGTACCTCATCCCACACCGTCTCCACCATCTTCTCCTGGTGCTAACTCAGATGACTTACATGAGGTTGAATCTACAATTACTATTGCAAAGGAACCAAACTTCAAAAACCGCGCTCTTTCACAAATTGAAGTTATACACAATGCTCCCAATTTCTCCTACCATCTCAAGCAATACCTTGGTGGTCTTCTGGTGGCAAATTCTTCTGCACCACGAATGTCTGCTGCAAGAACTGCTCAGTTCTCACTGCCATTCACCAAAGTCAGTACCTATAATATGTTCTGCTTTCAACCTGAAGGAATCCAGGATGACAAGGAAGAGCATGATATTATCTGGGCAATTCCACAAAGCAAGGGCTATCCACATGGACGATATGATACAGCAGTAGTCTTGGTCAATGATGAAGCTCAATCAACAGGGTTAGCTGGTATGACAGTTTAATAATTACTACTTGTGGTCCAACGAACTGATTATCTCCTGGATTAGGTACCTGTATTGGCCGTGTTAGAGTCATCTTCACCCTTCCTGAAACCATTGATGCAGGCCTTGGTCCTGAAAAGCCTCCAAAATTCTGGCCACAAGGACCTTTGGCCTATGTAGAATGGTACTCAAATTTACCTGGAACAGCTGACCATTATCATGGAATGTACAAGATTTCAAAGATTTCTGGAGCAGGTGGACACCTTCCTGGTATAGTGGTTCCCTTATCTAATATTCGCCAGAGCTGTATGCTATTTCCTTGCTTTGCTCCACAAGATACTCCTCCAGAAGAGAAAAAATGGACGTCTTCTAGTGTACTTGATCTTGCTTCATCATTTCTAGTCAACAATTGGGTAGACAAATACACATATCAGACCATCTATTAGACTAATGTAGTGAATAGACTGACATCTATAATGTATAATATAATTTCTGAAGCGATGTTGTGCTCTATGTTTCTGAAGATGTCCAGAGCATCTCAAAGTACTTTGAGTGCTCTGAGGGGTGCTAAATAACTCTGGGAAAATGGTGTTTGTCTGTGTTGCCCTGAGAACAGGGTGCCTTTTCCTGATGATCTAAGGGTTTGGATTCTCATCCATCTGCTTTGGGGCCTCTAGAGGATCTATAATATTCTTGCACTTGTTGTCTGACATTTACCCATGTAAAGCAGATTGTCCAGTGAAGGTGATTGTGGTGTGCCGGCCCATGAATCATCTCTTGCAGTGGCAGCAAAGTTATGGTTATAGCTGCTCTGATGTATACAGGACATTTGTACCAGTTTGTGTAGGAGAGGGAGACTCAAGTGGTGCTGAATCAACCATTTTTATTAGGATATGAGTGCAGGGGATATATGATTCTGAATGAGGGCTCGGCATAGCACATACTAAGTTGGATGGGTTGAGACTTGAGAAAAAGGTAAAGTGTATGTGTTCAAAAATATGTGACGCCAAGAAGCTGGGTAACAATAGTGTCAAGATGGCACACATAGTAGTTGGTCACAATTGAAGGGAAAGGGTGGTCACACAAAACAGCATAAAAGGATTTTGAATTCACCCCTGCTTGGGCCCTATCTACTGTACATGTGGCTGTATTTCTACTAAAAAATGAGACTGGGTCACTAATTAAAATATAGTCAAGTAGTAAAATAAGTCATAGGTACAGCTATGGAAAGCTACAGACTACACAAAGCAATAGAAAAGAATTTGAATGTGTCAATGAGGGGTTGACAAAGGGAAATGGGGGGGATTTATAAGTGGCATTGACAGAACGTAACGAATCTCCTGCATAACTGTAGGGAATGGCATGGGTAACTCTGGGGTATTCCATGGAAACCTGTACCTGTACCTGCAAAAACCCGTACCCGCACCCACAGGTATGGGTGTTTTGTGGGTACAGGTCAAGGGTTGGGATGGGTTGATGGGTCCAGAAACCTCTACAGGTTCATCGTGCGAGTTGATTACTGATTGGGGTTAGAATGGCATGTAGATGAGGGGATTGCCTCGCAAAAGCATTGCAGATGTCAAATGATGTTGCAATGGACATTTGCGAGGGTGAAGTACTCATAACATGGGCATCAAGATGGGCAATCAGCAGGAAATTGCCTTTGCGGATTGTGTATGTGTCGCCCAATTTGCAAAGCGGTGGGTTGTTGGTTTGTTGAGGGCGGTGACTATGGGTGCAGCCCATGGCACATAGGTGATGGCAGGGTTGGGTGTACAAATGACAGCAAGGGTGCTCTTTATCTTTGTCATGTGTACAACACACAGTGAGGGGCTTGTGTTCATATTTGTGATGTGTCGCTGAGACATGGCATGCTGGAGTTGATGTTGAGCACAAAGGCGCAGAGCACTGTCAACCTGTGCATGCAACAGCGAGGTGGCAAAGGCCCAGTGCAGCCACAGAGCATCTGTCATGGCACCGACAAGGCTGAGAGTCAGGAGGCAAAGGGTGTATTCAGGGCAGTCATGGCTAGTGGTTTGCTGGCCTGGCTCAACCTGAAAGCCGTGGCTTAGGCCCGGCTTTGGGAGGCTCAGGCTTACAATTTTTGAAGCCTGAGCCATCGCCCATGGCTTCCCACAGCCTAGGCTCAGCTCCAGCCTGGGCTGCAGCTTCTTGATATATTTGCAGAACTGTGGGCACGGCCAATATTAATGTGGTAGGTGCACACTAATAGATTTAGATACTTGATATACTTGCTTCCATAGAGTCAATGCACCAGTAATGAGCAGAAAGCTGGGTAAACATCACTTTCTGCAAATGCTGATGTAAGATTTTGGAGACTTTAGCCTTGCTTTTTTTATTTTTATTTTTTATTTCTGCAAGCTCCCCCTTTGTGGCTAAGCCATATGATAGGGTTCTGCCACTCCAGATTTACACTAATTGATCTATCTAAATGTGGCCCTTGGGCATTCTGTATGGAAACAGCTGCTTGAGACATCCAGAGGACATCTGCAAACGGTCAGACTCTTAAGGAGACTGGATACCGCAAAAATTACGTGTGAAGAATCCACAAAAATAGAATCAGTTGTCCATAGTGAGATAAGAGAAAAAGAGAAATGCTGATTGGTCTAATCACTTTGCACCATATCTCCGTGGGCGGTATCGAGACACTCTGCAGTTTGAGCCGAGCAGTGTTACCTTCGACAAGCAGAAGCCATTTGCTATCCTCTCGTCATTGAGCATTACCAACAACGAGACAGGTCCTGTCAGGTCGTCCCTCCAAGCATTGCCCTTACTAAGGACACGGTAGTCACAAACATTGCTTTCCTGCAGTCCAATGTCTTCATGCAGCAGGTACAGAATGTTTGAGTCTGGGCTGACATCGCCCCAGGCATCTGCAAGTGCTCAGGCATGGACATCATGGATGACAATCCCATGCCATGGCACATCCAGCTCCGTGAATGGGTCGCCAACACGTTTGAAATCACCCAACAGGTCATCAAAGCTGGTGAGGATTTCTTTATGTCAGGTGATGAGCTGCGCAGCTGTGTACGGTGCCCATGTGAGCAGGGAAATGTTGCCAGCTTTTGTGAGGTTGGCAGCGAGGATACGTGGGGGCTGATGGACATCATTGAGGTTGTAGTTCAGCTGGGGGACGAGTAGGGAAAGGAATTCCATGGTGAGCGGTGGCTGTCGGTTGGGCCATCGTAAGGTTAGTCGATAGGGAGAGTGACACTGCATCTGGGTAGGCTGCGCTTTCCAAGACATGTGAGGTGCTCGACCTGCTTGTGACACTCCTTTCCTGTGGGATGGTTGATCCATGCCAGCTTTGTGCAGGGCAGCTTGCGCATAGGACTTGGTTCCAGTAGCAGCTGCAGGTCGTTTGACCACAGGCTGAGGCTGAGGCTTTGTGATTGTTGGCATGATGCCGCTTGGCTGCAACATGCTTACAATTGCTGCCAAAGCGCTGCGAGTGTGGGGGCTAAGCTCAACCAGCTTGGTTGAAGTTGCCTGGAGGATGATAGCAGTTGCTAGGACTGAGTCCAACAACTGTTCCAGGTGCTTCAGGTCATCCTGTGGGGGCCGCAGGTTGTTGGTCTTGGTGGGCTTTTCACAGCCGGTCTTGAGTGGGCCCATTGTAGAGGGGTTGGTGAAGGGTGACAGCAATAGTGGGGTACTTGGCCATGGGACATGGTGCTGGGGTTGGTCATTGCGGTCAGTACGACCTCTCTTGACCACCCGCCACGTGTGCGGTGACTTGGTGAGTGGAGCAGCTTGGGCATCGTCTGAGGATTCTGAGGGGGTCTTGTCAGGTGAGCGGCGCCGATGGGTGCCTGCCAGCAGTGGCACTGAGCTGCTTTGCTGGCCAAGATGGTGGTGGTTCGAGCATGAGAACATCCTAGCCTTGCTTTAGCCAGTGGTCTGTGTGTTCGAGGATGGAGAGCAGGTCAAAATGGTTCAGTAAGATGTTTGGTCCCGGAAGAGGGAGTAAAAGTAAGGGCCCTTGAAACTATCTACAAAGAAAATGAGTGGTGGCCTGGCACCAACAGCCTCAGGCTTTACATTTTCGAAGCCTGAGCCGTGGGCTGCCCAAAGCTGTACCCACGGCTCAGGCTCAGCCTGGCTTATGAAGGCTGGCTTTGGCTGGCTTATGGCCTCTGAGCCGAGCCAGCAAATCACTAGTCATGGCTTACCTAGTGGGTCTCCCCTTGCTGGGTCTCCCCTTATATGCTCCTCCCCTGGGTGCTCAGTGGTCGCTGTGGGATTGTCTTACATGTGCGAGGCCTTTATGTGTTGGCGGCGAGTGCTGAGCACTAATTTTGTGTTGCTAGCGGAATGAGAGAGACGAGGATGAAGCTCGTCAGCTGAGTTTGAAAACTCGGCCGAACCCCTGGTACCCGCGCCACGGGTACGGGTTGGGCTCGGGTCGAAAAATTCCAACTTGTACCCGTACCCCAGAGCAACCCATGGGTTTACCCGCATGGGTTGCTCTACCCGTGCCATTCCCTATGCATAAGCCTCCAGCCTTGCCCAGTTTGGCAGGTCGGTCAAGGTCAAAGTCAAATTTTGACGGTCATTGACTTTCTTGACTAGTCAATGACCGGCACAACACTGCTTCCCACTGCCGCGATGGTTTAGTGTGAAAGTAGTGCCTATGAGACTACGAGTTTATAAATTTTGATTATCCCAGACACGACATACAGAACGTTGATTACGCACGGGCCATCTCGGCTAGCCGCCCTTACTAGCTCGATACCTGGATTAACGCTCCTTCGTCGTGTCATCCTTGTAGCTCAAACGCGCAGGGGAAGATGGGAAATGAGAATTATGTATCTGTAGTTGTTTGCTAACCCGTCGGCAATCATCGGCGCCGTGGTTTGGTTGACCAAATTTTGAGCAGCTTTCCATACTCACTGCCTCTTGCTCTTGGCGCTCACACGGATTTTATTTAGGCCGGGGAGACGTTCTGAATCGAGTCAACATCCAACGTCCCACGTCCACCCTCGCCCTCGCCCTCGTCTACGCTCTCTCTTGCGTTCCACTCACTCTCGGCCAAGCCTACCACCCGTGCGCAAGAAGCCCTTTGGTCGACGTTGCCTTCGTACTCGTCATCGTCATCGTCATCGTCATCGTCATCGTCATCGTCATCGTCATCGTCATCGTCATCGTCGCGTTCGCTAAAGTGGGTAGCCCGCCCTTCCTTCTCTTATTCTAACCGTGACTGACACCATCCCCTAACTCGTCAATAGATACCACCATGTCCCAAGTCGTTGTCTGCATTGACGATAAGGGCAAGCCGGCGAACATTCCGGACCTCGAGATGATCATCACGCGGAGTTTCGACGAGCGTGACCGCCAGGCTACCGCCACCAACACAAGTGGTGTGAGGATCGACCTTGATAAGAGGTCTGATCTCGACGTTAGTAGCATATGGGTCAAGTCTGGGCGTGACATCACCATGGGCGAGGCCAATATGCAGCGCTTTGTCGCGGAATATCTTCAAAATAATAACATCTCTGCTGTACGTGCCCCTCGCGTTTACCTCGCCTTCACGTGGGGCATCTTCGGTTTCATCGTCACCGAGTACATCGACGGACAGACGTGTAGCTACTCCGATATCAGCGTCGTCGCCGCCGCTGTGCAGGCCCTTATCGACATCCGGAGCCCTAGCTTGAAGCCCGGACCCGTCGGAGGAGGCTTGATGGAGCACCCCTTTTTTGTCGACAGGAAGTCCTGCATCCAGTACGAATCCGTCGAGGAGCTACAGGACCATGTGAACGGGGTAAGTGCCCCCCTTTATCTCGTCCTGTCCCTCTGGCACCTGGGCTGCTCTCCTGATAAAACCTATGACTACAGATTCTCTCCGAGACGGGGAGGAGGGGCCGCGTCAACTTCGCCAGCGAGCTCGCTAATTATGGGCTGCGCCTCTGCGTATCTGACCTGGTGCCCGTTAATTTCATGAAGGATAGCAACGGTGGGATCGTGGCCGTGGACTTTGGCGGCTACTCCTTCCTGCCGCCCTCCTTCTTCGCCTTCACGCTGCGATACGGAGGCTGTTCGAACTTCGCACTCCGCGTTGCCCGCACGCTCGAGTACCCATCACCACCAAATGTTACGGCCATGGTGAGCGCCTCTTGCGCGCTGGTCCCCTTTTCTAGAAACGATGTCGGTGAGCAGATCTTGCTACTCTCTTATCGTTTGCTTGCCTCTCGCCCCCTTACCAGAACACCGAGCTCACTGTACTGCACAGGCCTTCCGGAGAGACTCCAGTCCAGGCTTCAACCAGTAAACGCCGCGCACAATCGGCCCAGCGCTTAACAGGACTGTGCGCTCCCTCGTCGTCGTTTACGTTGGCGCTGTTGCGGCTCGTTGATTCTCCCGAGGGACGTTGCTTTGTATGTTTCCGCTGCCTCTTACCCAATCCAATGTATCTACTAGTACTACAGCTTAGCTTGTAACAGTCATACCAGTCATGTCAGCTCCTTTTGTCGTGAATGCACAGAGGCACGCTAAAGATAAAACAGTCAGTCCAGAGGTACTACGAAGAATCCTTCTTTGTGAGTACTTACCTTACGAAAGTCGGTCAACCAAGGTTGCCTACTGAAATTCCACCGCATCACAGTTTGTGACGGGGTGTCGAAACTCAAGCTAACTTTCACGATTGACTGAAGAATTGAACGGTCCTAATCAGTCTCCCAAGCACACGCGTAGAATTGGTAGTCATAAAGGCATGATGAGCGCAAATGGCGCCGTGCGACCCGGAGACGTACAAAGTCAACAACAATCGACTCACTACGAGGATGACTCCATACTCTGATATTTTCCGCGGTCATGCGGGTTAAAACTTTACTTCGTACCTCTTTTCAACTGGAAGGGTACGCTCTGGGTACGCTGCTCGCCTCGTTCTTATGAAGCCTGTGGTTTCATTTCAGGTCAAGAGCATCGACGCTGATCATCAACTAGTAGAACGTGACTTATTCACAGATGGCGGCTTGCTGAACCCGCATCTGAGGTCTTGCAATACAGTTGTCGGAGAACTGTCGTGTGTCGCAGGGAGGAGACGGCCTTCGAGCCCGCAAATTTCAGTGACACGAGAGGAGAATATATAAGGTGATGGTTCGTTGATGCACTTTCATCATGAGAGCGCACAGTGAACTGGCGAAGAAAGTAGAATCCAATAGTGGTATCGAGGAATACAAAGGGAATCAAGAAAGGAGGAATCGAAAGGCATTCATGTTGCTGGATCGTGTAGGACGGCGAGGATATACCGCTCATCTGCAGCAAAACCAGTATGAACAGAGAGTTCAACCGTAAGGAAGTCTTCGGACGCACCTGGTGAAATCATGATCTCATGTCTCTTTGTCCGTATCCGCATAAACCTAACCTCATCCTTTCAACCCAGACCGACCGAGCCCACCAATTAGCCACCGACAGCCCAAGATCAACAAGGAAATGGAGGACTCACCCCATCCGCCTCGCCCGCTGGCCCAATAGTGTCATCTCCCCTCACCTCCTCCAACCCATGCTGCACACTCTGCACGATCCTCGCCACTGCAGCAGCGTATCTCTTCCCCTGTTCGCCCTCGAACACGACCCCCGAGTGCCGGATGATGCTCGGATGGTGTCCCCGCGTGATGAGCATGTAGCCTAGTACAGACCGATGCGAAGAGAGCATGGAGAGCGTCTGTTCAAGTTCTGGCGACATGGCCGCTGCGGTCCCCGAACTTGTTCCTGGGGCTTGCGAAGGCCCCGCCGTCGTGGAGCTGCCAGGTTGAGAGACAAAGGTCGTCCGTGCTGTTGATGCTGGCGGGCCTTGTGTCGTGCTTGATCTTAGCGCCTGAGAGGGATTTCAGCATGTTTTTACGTAAAAATGATGCATATGTGGGCTTACCATTTCCTGAGTGGAAGGTAGACTGGCTGTGAAAGAGACAAACGGAAGTTGGGTTCCAGCGCAATCCCAGGCTGGGAAGGAATGAGGTTCACACACTCCGGTCCGAAATTCCCGTCCCCTAGACGCTTCCTCTAAATTTAATTAAAATTTGTAAAGATTTGCGTGGTGAACGATAATGTCGAAGAAGAAGTCGATAAGTGATATCTCAGGCCTTTCTCCATTGCTTACAGTTGATCCTCCCTCTGAGCCTGAGGCAAACGGGAAGGCTTCCACCAATGTTGGACCAAGTTGGGATCAACAGCGCCGCAGCGTGGGGGACGTTGATGAGATTATTCTTGAACTCTCCCAATGGGCGGAGCCGGAAGCTCGGGAAAGCAGAAGAGAAGTACGAACGCCTCATCATCCCGTTCCCCGGCTGCGCCTAATCACTAATCAATGGAAGTTAATGGACGACAATATGAAATTACCTCGAAATTAGCAAGGCACCGAGGCTGTCTCCAAAAAGCCGAGGCAGATTCAAATTCAAACAGTCGAACGTCATGGAATGTCAGGTAAACAAGTACCCTCAGGCCTTCTGATTTTTGTGAACAAGTGAATTTGAAGCGAGATGTTCATGAGACCGGTGGAAAGAATATTTACCTATGCCCTTAGAACACTCGATATATAATCAAAGCTTAGATTTATAATTACCCGCTGCTCACCTCAAGAAATTCATTACTGAATTTGTTGCGCCTCTGAAGGTCTTCTATGAATCTTAGAATGCCTTGAAGCCCATTTTGGACCTGTGTTTAACAGGGGTGGCTTGAATATACATGCGTCTGCCCCACAAGTTAACGCTTACATTTACAATTTGAACGATTCGACGAAACACATTAAGCAACGTGCTCCACATACCCCTCGACTAAAGCGATCGACCGATCTCTACGATTATCCTCGCCTCGCTTCTATACACGATGCCCGAGTTAAAAATAGATCACCATTTGTTACTATACAGCCTCCGAAGCGCGCCAAGGCAGTGGTAGGCGCTCCATCGCTTCGTAATCGGCATGTGTGGCGGGCCCCGTGCAGGGGCCATTTGCTGTGAGGTCGAATTTTATAGCGAGGAATTAGGTGTTCGGCGAATGGGGACAGGGACGGGGATTTGTGGACTTACATATGACGCGCAGTTTGCTGCGGGTGCACGAGGCGTCCCAGACGCTGAAGGTTTGGCATGACTTGGAGGAGGCATTACATGAGAGTTTGTAATCGAACGGAAGTTTGAACCGTGCAACGAAAGGTAAGAGCGAAACTTTTTGGGAAGGGTGTGCCTCCTCTCAGCTCTGAATGGATGTGCATAAGAGTGCATCGCAGAGCAAGAAGTAGGAGGAGTAACCTTATCAATCTGATTGAAAAGGAGCAAAAGAAGTTGTGAAGGAAGTTGAGAGCCGACGATCCATCGCTTGCTTCAACTGCACTAACGAAATGCTTTTGACGCTCAAATCGAGAGGTGATTAGAAAATGTCAGTATGATAAATAAAGCAAGATCGTGACATAACATAAACTGAGAGACGAACGCTGGTGTAGAAGGAATGATTGAAGACGTCGTAACTATCACAGCGCAAAGTCCATTTTATGTGTGAAATCCAAAAGAGGCTCGTCGAAAACCCTCGAAATCTATCTCTGCCGTGCTTCAGCAGTGCTGCCCGCCTCGGCGTCCCGTGCTAGTCACAAGCTCGCAGACATTTCGACATCCTTCGCCTCTTCCCTCTCGATGCCGAGCATTCTGCAAGGGTGTACGACATTCCAGATGGTTAATGCGATCAAGACTTGCGCCGCGTCGAGGAGGACTTGGGGATATATTAGTTCGTGACACAAAGTGAATTGGACGAGGAAGGGACTTACTGAGCCATATCTCTTTCTTCGCGAGTGAGCCATCAGCGCCCTGTGCAAGTTCTATGGTTCTGTATCCGAAGCTGCATTTGATTGCATTAGCGGCTTCAAACAAGCTCGCAAAGAAGCGCTAGTCGCTCACCGGACGATCAAGATCATGACATCCGCAACAATCGCGTTGAGGACGATCTTCACGCTCTTCGACATGCGCCCGTCCAGTGCGTCCTGAGACGAGTTTTGGACGGGAACGAAGCGGCCGACCGGCTGGCGCCTGCGGAAGCGAACAAGGTACTCAAGGGCGTACAGCCCGAAGAGCACGCTGATCACGATGTGGTAGATCATACCGCCCATGGTGACATTCCGACCCTAATAATTCACGATGTCTTAGGAGGGTTGTGGAGCTAGGGAGATTGAAATTGGCTTACAAGATCGACGATGTCTCCTTCTTTCTTTGCGGACGCCATGCCGGTACCGCCCAATAGGAGGAGGAAACCGAGTAGACTCTAGTGGATGATTAATCCAGGGTGGTGATCCTTGGGTGGGACGACTTACGAGTCCACCGAACACGATAGTATCTGAGCGTAAATAATTTAATAAAACCGGAATAGTATAGGCGTCTAACAACTTACAAGCTTTTGGACTAAGTCGTGAATATGATTGACCAAGATGGGCGATCACAAGTTGGAAGATGAAGAAGTTAGCTGCGAGTAGTGGCGTTGCACCCATAGCAAGGGTGGCAAATCTAGTGTCAGAATCAGCATGGATTTGTTAGATAAAAAATGCGTACACCTACTGTACTTTATGAGGGAACTCGACGTTAGGTTTAAATGTTGACCAAAGGCGGCCACCCCAGCCAAGAATTTCGAGATTGGGGCAGAAGACAAGGGTCATTAGAAGGAATTTCAATCGGTATTTAAGATACGCCATTCCATGGAGGACTAGAAAGATTTAGTTAAGAAGGAGAAACCGGCAAAAGAGTATTGAGCACTCACCGAATGTAATAACGAAGAGTACCAAAAGGATGATAGTCGCCACCCGGGAGGGAGTATAGCCGTAAAGAGACGTTGGCTCTGAGGTGGTCGCATCTGTACCGGCAGAAGACATTGCGTATTCCTGTAGGAACGGTAGTGGATAAGGAGGGGGAGGAGGCGTGTATCGACGCCAGATTTCTTCGACGACTTCTTATAGCTTCACGCAAGGCATGCGGGTCCTATCTCCCCAGGAGTCCCGCTCATTTTCTCCAGAGTGGCTGAGATCTGGAAACGAATACAAATTGGTGAGCGGTGCGAGATCGAAGCTACCAACCTATGATGGAGATCTCGCAGGTAAGGACCTAACTGACCCAAGGATCTCCTAGCAAAGGCTGCGTATCACGCAGTGGGAGGCTCAGGAAACAAAGAAACGCAGCCAAATTGACCATGATACGCAGTATCTATGCTTCCCATCGCCACAAGCACGCAGGGAAGAGAGAGTAAACGGCCCGTACCACCAAACTTTTTCACGACATCGCACAGCGTCATCCATCAAAACGGGCCGTCACGCATAACTAGTCACAAGAATTGCCTATTATGGGTCACGCAGAAGCGCAGAAGCTACGCTGGTTCAGGATAAGCCTCGAAGTCGTACTACGGTTCTACTAAGAATATGCGTACAGTGGGATTTATTGTGCTATCTGGAGGCTCCACTGACAGGGAAGTCGGACTATCCATGGGTCGTGCCAGCTGACAGACCTTAGTATGTCATCGCAAGTAGCAGCAGTAAGCATGGCGGTCGTGAAGCAGGGAAAAACTGCACCTTTAATAGACATGACGGATATTCCAGCGCATTAATTAGATTTTAAATAGTTTAAATTCAACTTCTCTCGAAATTCCTCCGGAAATTGACCTTTAATCACCGGTGTTGCACCGGCGCCTATTTCTTTCTGCGCTGACGGTCCAAGAGAACGAGCGAATTAACACTTGGCTAAGAGGGCAGAGTCAACCATTGATAAGTTCTATACACTTTTTGAGCGACGGAACACCATCACCATCATTAAACATGTATCCCGACGATAGTCTCGCTCTCGGAGATCGTATCTAGGCACCCGCCCCTGGTGACTCTCACCGTCAAGAGACGAAAGCACCCTCGGCCTCGACGAATTTCTATGACACTGAACTTGAAATGGGACTGAGAATTGGGATAAGCCCTGGGATAGTTCAAGACATGTCCAAGACTCAAGAAAGCGCCGGGCGTTTCAACTTGGCGTATGGGAAATTTGGGCAGGCGATTGCCGGCATTGCGATTCTCCTCAGTTCTCCTCACCCGAACCTTTCTTGTAAGTACGTGACTTGACTTCCATGTCTGTTAGTGGGAGCCTCAAAAGGCATTTTCTCCTTCTCCTTGATACCTGCAGCCAGCGTCCCTACTCACAAGCATCTTCGAACATACTCCCAAAAAGGTAGAAGAATGCGGTTTTACGCTTCAACTGTGCGCATACTCTCACGGTGGAGTCTCTCGCTCAGATTTGTCAAGATTCCTCCCAGCCTGCTCCCTTCGTCCTTCTTCTTACTCTCCCTTGGGTAAGGTATTCTTTGAAATGTACTTGTCCCTTTTATCAACTGCACAATACCCTGCTTGGAAGCTTCCTTTCTCGGGAACTGGGCGAGAGAAGCTCCCGCGCTCGCATGGTACGTCTACTAAGTTACCCCAACAATCCCATGCCTGATTATAATTCTGAAGCAGGTGCAAATAGACGATTTCCTGAAGACACGTTTCTCAACACGGCACGTTTCTTGTTGACCGCTTTGGACAAACAACGAAAGCCTCCATCTCCAATGCTATAGATAAGCTATGTATATTACACGATTGACGAGCCTTGATTCTCTCCATATCAGCCCCAGCATCTTCGACGGATGGTGGAACACCTTTCCTAGAATTCGACTGGGGCAGCCTCTCTACATCTTGCATTTTCAAGGCAACGGACAGTGCCAGCGCCTCCCGCCTCGAACGAAGCGGGATGAGTGTTCATATACATATCGAACGAAGAGGCATTTTTCGAAACGACAAGCCACCGGTCCGAATCGTTCGGAGCCCACTTACCTGGGGGTTCTATCCATCCGAATGGCACAGCACTTGACACAAACCATCCACCACTCGGTATGACATACTTCGCCGAAGGTCTATCGAAACTCAAGGACTCGGGCCGTCTCTTCTACTTCCCCGCCTTAGAGACGACAGTAACCCATGCATAATTCATGCTTTTCTGAGGAGAATAGCCCCAGGTTTTGTCCGAGAAAATAATGGCATCGATTATGAGTGGACGAAGGCGCCTTTCTGGTGCTACACCCTATCCAAGAGGCTGTTGAAGACTGCTAACGGAGACTCGAGATTCCAGAGCGCTTCAGACCTATACGACTCCATGATCAATAACCCTTTCAATCATGGAGGAAATATCAGACTCGAGACAGACCTCTAACGGGGATGTTGGGCTTAAGAGCAGCAGGCCACACCGTCTCGAAGGCGCTGGAATGCCAGAAGCCGGTCAGACGCGCAGACTACGATGCAACAAGGGTCTTACTTTGGCGTCTCGTTAACCGTCACGCCGCCGGGCTCCAGACTTCCTGTGCTTGGTCCGCAGCAAGGAGAGGCAGTTCCCCATACTGGAAAAAAACAATTTAGCTTGAAGGGGCTGAGAAGCAGACGAAGGACCTATTTACATGGGCCAGCAGCCCAGGCCACCCATCCAATGTACTCGTCATTTGCAGCGATATATTCCAACATCTCATTGAGCATCTAAAACTCGGGAGTAAATCCCCTGCAGGCTAGAGTGGGACGCCTTGGAAGCTTACGTCGATACAGTTTTGGTTGTTTCCACCGCCAAATTCGCTGATGATAGCTCTGGAGGAAGGCTATCAGCAACGACGATGACAATTGGCGGATTCAGGAGGACACGCACTTCATCCTGTTTTCCTTCAGCCACGCCGTCAAAGCTGCCAAATTCGATGGTCCTATTGGGAGTATTTTGAATATTGGGATGTTCCGCCTGGTTTAAACGTACCAGGTTGCGCGCACTCATCGTGAGAGCCTGAGAAGTCAATATCTTGATGAGGTTTAATTCCGTGAGTTTATTTATTCTGCCTCAGGCGAGACCACCCACCGAGGTACTAGCCAAGGAATTTGCGATTAGTGGAGTCAGAGAAGGGAAATGATCGCGACCACGACCATACCTCATGAATATCCAGAGCGGTGTTGTGGACAGGATCAAACAGGTTGTTCATGACCTCGCTCGACGGGGCATACTCTCCGGCGGGGCCGCTCTTCTCGGTCCACGAATGTCCACCCGTCCAAGCATTGCCAGGGGCCAAAATAAGCTGTCGAGCGCCTACTGCGCGTATCCCGTTTATCGCCGCTTGATTGTTCTCGAGGACGAGCTCGGTGGGCTAGATGGCATGCAAATGCAAATCAGATTTACGAGCGAAAATGAGGTGGAGAGTCGTGACTGGACTTGGTAGATGGACTGCTGCGGCGCTCACCATGTCGTGCGGCTCGTTGTTGATTCCGAAAATGACTTTAGGGTTGTGGACGAAACGCCGGGCGAGTTCGGACCAGAATTGCTGGAATTGCTTCGTGGTGGCTGCGGTAGGGTCGGAGGAATTGCCGATGACCTAAGAAGTTGAGGAGATTAGACCGAGGGCCCGAGAGTGACAAGTGTGGCGAGTGCGTACGCTGCCCGAAAATGGTTGTTGGGAAGGTTCACTAGATTATATTTTTCTTAGCTTCATGGTCTAGAAAAGGCTCGAGAGGATAAGAAGTCTCACTTGTACCGCATGTAATTGTGGGGGTCGATGATGACGTACGCGTCCTTCGCGATAGTTATATAATTTACAGCGTCAGCGAAATGAACGAAGTACTATAATCGTGTTCGGTTGGAAAACGTCCGAGTCGAAGGAAGGTCCGACATACGGTCTCGTTGAATCGGCTTCCAAGGCCGTAGGAAAGAGGGCACATTCGTTCCATCAGGAAAGTGACCCGGAAGACATTGATTTTCTCTTCATCGACAAATATGTCGACAGTTGTCTAGAAGGGCGAATATTATTTAGAAATGGATTAATACTTTCAAAAACAACTCGCCTTGTTGATAAAGGAATAATCGACGTTGAAGCGACCAGGAAGACCGAATCCCACGTTTCCAGGAGACCACACGCCGAATTCGCCACCAGACTTGGAAGGGTGGTTAGAAAATCGTAGGCCCGAAAGCTGACTTGAAACGCACCTCGTTAACCCCTGCATAGAGGATCTTTCCCAAGACTGAACTGGCAATAGAGAGAGTGGATACCAAAGGTTTCCAGTACATGACGAGGGACGACGCGTTTCAGCCAGGCGCTTTGCTGGCACCGGCGTCCGACCTTTTATGCCTTGGGCGTGAGGAAAAGAAGTCACGTCGGATCCTTCCTTGGTCTGTTCTGCATTGGAGAATATAAGAAGGAAGGCAGTGAAGAGCGGTTATTTTTGCGAACGGCATATCTTCGGTATAAGGGTGTGAGGGTGCAATTCAAGGGAACTCACTGAGTGTTCCAAAGGTGTACCATGCGAGTTCTGGCGGACAAATACAGATGGGTTATCATCGGGAGGGGTGTCGGTGATTAGGTGTGTTGAGGACGATGAGTTGGCGATTCTCGACGTCTATCAAGCTGTCCATGGTATTTATTTACTCTATAGACCAATATAGAGTGGAGACGCTTCGAGGAGTACTCAGTGGGCTAGACAGGACTTGACGCTGAAGTTCCGAAGTAGAAATATGCTCTCAAGGAAAGCAAGAGCGGCAAGGAGGCCACCGACATAGAACCACGAAAGGAGGTCGGAAAATCCGGCCGCTCGCCGAATTGCCGATATGGCCACCTGGGTTGAGTTGATTGTTGGTACGAACCATCTGCCCCTGAAAGCTCGACTGGAAGCTGAGAAAGAGACCAATGAAAAAACACGCGATAAGGAGTGTATCATGCAAGTGAACGACAGGGAGGATCGGCGAATTCGCGAAGGTAAAAGTCGGAAATGTCTTACCTTATCCAAGGAATTGAAGGGAAAAAAATTAAAGGCTGGAACCGTGATCATGTCATGGAAAGGACAACATAATACCAGAAATAGTACACACATTTCAAGGAATAGTCAATCTGGAGTCAACACCTAAGGCCTAAAGCTTCGCTTCGACAGCCGAAAAGAAACCACGACGATCCCAAACGGTGCCCTCCGAAAACTGAGGCTCCCCCTCCCTCACCCACCCCATCCTTCCAGCAGTTAATCCAGCCGTCCGAACGAACAACGTTCCATCAATAAGCTCTGCATCCTTCAGCCCCGTGTCCTTGAAATACCCTTTCTCAACGTGTCCCCAGATGGCGGCGTACTCGGCGAAGGCCCTCTGGAACTTGAAGAGATGGTAGTCCAGCGTCGACTGCATGATCTGCAACCACGGATTGGGTGTGATGGCATATGGCGAAGTCGGAGACGGATGAACGTCTTTGTCTGGGGTAGGGTGAGGGCCTGGTGCGGTGGGATGGAGGGTTTCAGGATCTGAGAAAAACGATTTGATATCGAGAGATGGCCGACCACGTCCGATGTACCATGCAGGAGAGTGAGCGAGATATGCTCGCAAGAGCAGGACTTGGGAGCTCCGCTTCAGAACCGAAAAGACATGTGTGAGCGACAGTGAGGATGTGACAAGGTGCATACTGAACGCAAGATGGGTTAGGAACGTTGCTCGTATTCGTGAAGGACAAACTTACTGGAAGGAATCTGCGTTGTACGGCCCGTTTTTCTCGACACCAGCGACACCGTATACCAAGGCCTGCATCCACAAAAGCTCTTCGAGCTTCCTGTTGAGGTCCTCGCCCAGCGTCCACTGATCAACGTAACTCGAAATTGTCGCGCTATGTGCATCCATAACGCTCTGGAAAAGTCCGAGTTGACCGTACACTCGAGTCGGCGCCAGCTGATCATCGTTCAAGACACGACTGAGAATCGTGAATGCATGGACATCTTTTCCCTCATATATTCTGGTTGCACTCGTGAAACGCAAGGACAGACTATAGTCGTCAAAGAAAGATGGAGGAAGGATGGCGCTGCCTTCATTTTTGTGGATGGCGGCTTGAGCGATGGCTGTCGCTATCGAGACCAGGGGTTAGTTGTAAGCAGAATCCTGGGTCGCCCATACTCACCTTCAAGAAAGACGCCCGGAAGGCCAAACTCGATTCCGAACCCAATGTGTATCAAAGGATGAAGCAACGATGCCAAGAAGCGGGCCAACATTTCCGGTTGCTTTTGTGCATTCTCAACGTAGTTCGCGCTGTATTCAAATATGCATTCCTGGAGAATATCTTCGAAACTCTTGGTCGTGAATTCTTCTTTAAAGAACTGAAGGTAGGCGGCATAGAACCTTAAAAGATGGACGCTATTAAGCATAGCGGTTTCGTACTTGGCAGGAAATACATACTTATGATCACCAACGTGGTGTGTCCAGTTCTCGCGAGAGATAGGTCCAGGAGGAGTAAAAATGGGGCGCTGGTATGCACTGTCCATTTTGTATGACGTCTCTATCAGGCTAGCATCTGCATCGAGGCACCAGAGCGTAAGGACAGCATGAGGAATATGGCTAGCAAATACAGCGTCAGCGTCAGCCAATGTTTAGATGATGTGAAAAGTATGAACTTATGAAACCCTATGTCGTCGTAAATGACGTGCCACCTCCTATGGTTATCAGTGAGGACTCGTCGAAGGATTTCAGTCGATGCCGGTGTCACACCAGCCCATACTCGTGGCCTAAGTACGGTTGTGTTCTTATTTCCATAGCGGAGATGGGATGGAACAGGGAAGAGCTTTGCGTCGATTTCCTGGGACATGATGCCGCAGGTGTGGATGTAGTGCTGCACAATCGAGCAGTTCAAGACCGTCTTTTTTATAGTAGGCTAGGACGTGACTCTCATTCAGCCTTCTCATGAGGCCAAGGGCAGAAGACCACCTACCAGAGGGCTGGATCGTGCCGTTTTGCGATTTTCTGATGACTAGTCGACAGCAACGAGAAAAGCCAGACAAATGACCAGTTCGAAACCGCTTACTTAGCTTAGGGCGTTTGGGGTTTGATCGCGCTGAGAAATTGTTGGGGTCGTTGAATCAATGTATATAACGACACATGGGGTATATCATGAGGTCGCCTGAATTGGAGCGAATCACAACTGTGATAATGGTCAATTGAAGTGGTGCATGATGAAATCGGAAATGCTGAAGAGACTCGCCTGGGTACCACACTGCGTTAGCCGGGCAGGCATATACTCCGGCAGGCCTCTAGAATGGAAGGCGCGTCCCGAAGCCATGAGTGGGAGAGACGTCATGCAAAACAACAGGCAGGTGAGAAGATACAACCACGGCGTCCTTCCTGCGGAAGCTAGTGCGGCAGAGGTTTCTTGAGAGGAGATGTATGCGAGAAGCCGGTAGGAGTTTGGCATTCCATCACAGTGAAAAGTCGTAGAGAATGACCGAAGACGTGATGGACTTTCTGTAGACCGGCTGGTGACTCACGAACTGCGACATACCTCAAAATTGAGTGATGTGAAGCTAAATAAAGAGCTGCCTGTGCCACACCGCAAAGCAGGAGAGAGATAAAAATAAGGGTAAGCTGACCAAGCCCACGGAGAAGACCTGACAAACGTCTCTAAAAGAGGGGCACTTCAGCAAAAATAGCCAACAAGGTCATGTGTGGAAGAACATGCCCTCATTACAATCAAGCATCGCTTACAGTGTGCGCTTCCATAGAGCTCGCCTCTACCAAGGCTCACTGACAGTCACTCGTGGTCCTTTCCCTAGCCAACCATGCAGTCACGACCGTCACTCTGAGAAACAGTATTCCACCAGTCAAGTTGTACCCTTTCAACCAGCTCGCACGCATTGTTTGTAGACTTGAATTAGCGACTAGGCCCGCATAGGAAGAACAGTACAGGCAATGTGACTGCAGACAATGTCAATCATGGAACATGCGAAATTCAGTGACAAGACGCTTACTCGCCGAAGCTTTCAGTGCTGATAAATATGTTCCCAAAAAAGATCACTGATAATTGTTGACCGAAACTTCTTTAGGTGGTGAGTTGGGAGGGCATCGATTAACAAGCACATTGGGATGCTGTCAGCAATGTAGCAAGGAAGATTTTGCCAGTCTTGGATCTGTGCCATCAACAAGAATTATGATGGGCAACTCTCAGGTAACACGGCCATTCTGGACGTAGAGCTGTACAATTATTGAGGGCATTGAGGTCGCAATTGGATGGTCGTGGTTGCAAATCAAGAGAGTCACAATTAGGTCACTGTGTCACGAATCAAGTCGTTGAACTCGGTTCAGAATCATATTGTGGTCCAGACTCACTTGACGTTAACGTCGCTTCGTCATAACTTCGAAATTTCACTTTGACTGTAAACCAGCATCGTGTACGATGTATCGTGCGACGGATAACGAATGGAGTCCGACAAAAAGGCACTGGAATGTCTAGAGGGAGGATGGCCTGAGATTATGGTAAGCAGAAGGTCGCTGTTGATATATGATACGCCGCTGGTTGCTCCGTTATATGGTTTTTGTTTTTCTACAAGTCATGATCCACTTCTAACTGACAAGATAACTCATTAGAAGAGAATTGTCTGGGGGGGTTTATGTAACCGGAAGTATGTATTTTCGTCCAGCAGAACTGGAGAACTTCACAAATCACAACAGGATGGCGATACCCATCTTCGACGTTCTCATGACAATGAACCGTTCGACATCCGTGCGCAGGATTGTACCCTCGGCCTGAGAAGACGGACCGGAGCCCAAGCCTGCAGGCACGTTGAGGCCATGCGACTTCTTACACCGGGTTCTGCAGGGTGCGTCGCTGCATGCTTTCAGCTTCTTTCCTTCTCGTAACTCCAGACTGCTTGATTTCTTCTTTGTAGTCTCTTTTTGTGGACGTATCACGACCGTCATCAAGTGCCAGTGCCCGTCTATCTCCGTCAAGACAATGCTCTGCTCCAACTGCCAGTCGTCACTTGTCCAAGAACCCCTCGAATGTATAGCCCGTTCCTCTGTATGTGCAATTCCTCAGGTACCTCTCTCTATTCAGCTAAAGAAATGTAGGCTACGGCAGCGGAATTGGAGTCCGAAATGGAGCGGATAGGCACTATGATGGACAGGCTTGCTGAACGACGCACAAAGATCCGACGCCAAATCAACGGCCTATCTCCCACTGCTCAGCTTCCACCAGAGATTCTGACCGAAATATTCCGTGCGACGTGCCAGCAGTCCGAAACAGTGACACCGCTATTCTTCGGGAGCATATGCAAAGAGTGGCGGGATATTGCATGGTCGACACCCCTCCTTTGGAACACCGTCTCGCTGCATGTTTCCCGGAAAACACACGGGTCCCAAGTCCAATTACTCGCAGAATGGCTATCCAGGGCTAACACCTCTCCACTTTACATCAAGCTGACGTCCGATGACGAACATGAGTCCATTTTCTGCTCTCTCCGAGCCGTAATGGACGTCCTTGTCACGCGAGCTCCTTTTTGGCATAGTCTCGACTGCCTCCTGCCTCCTCAATGCCACGATGTCCTCAAAAACAACCATTTTCCCCTCCTCACTTCCGTGTCCGTCCGACCACCGAAGGGCACAATTTCTGCATTCAGCGAACCTCCGAACATGTTCCTCTCGGCCCCGAAACTCCTCGACGTCGACCTTTCGGGATACAATTTTTCTTCAATGGTCCTGCCATGGGACCAGCTCCGTCGATTCAAGACTCAATTCCTAACCGTCGCTGAATGCCTCAAGGTCCTCCGACGATCTCCGAACCTCAAAGACTGCCACCTCGAGAACGTTTACTCGCCCGAACTGCCCTCCTCCAATACCTCCGAGCCGCTGCTCTCGCCCCTAGAGCACCTCGATGTCACGCTCATCAAAGGCGCCGCAATCTCCCTCCTCGACACTGTGAGGCTGCCCGCTTTGCAAGACCTACGGATCCATTATAGCGGCCCGGGTGGGTTCCTGCTATCCGCAGTGAGCTCGCTCGTGCTCCGATCGGGGTGCACGTTGCGGAACTTGTGCATCGAGAAGCAGGACATGTACGAGGACGACCTCGTTGCGTGCCTCGAGGCGGTGCCTGCGCTGACGCACCTTCGCCTCGTCGTCCTAGATAACGCAGTTCATCAGCACCATCAACAAGTCCAACAGCATCAGGGGCAGGGGCAAGGGCTAGGGCAGGCATTAATCTCGGAGATGGGCCTGACGGATAAGGTTGTGGGCAAGCTTCATCCAAAGCATCCATCAGGCTACCCTCTTCTTCCGAATCTCGTTTCGCTCGAATATCGAGGCCGTGTTTCGTGTGACATCACTGTCCTCGTTTCTGTCCTCGCCGAGCGATGGCGATCGTCATTTGACAGTGAAGAGGCCGTGTCCTGTACTAAATTGCTGCGAACGGAGATCGTAGCGTGGCCTGGAGGCCTTCACGTCCCTCCCGACGCGCAAGGGGAATTGAGCAAACTGGCGACAGAA